ACCAATGTTTCATGCAGGATGACCCCAAGTATGGTTGCTTGCATCGCTGTAGAGGCAATTTCTATCCTTGAGAAACTTCATGCAAAGGGGTAAGCAGGCCTTTTGAATTTTCTATTAGCCTCTGGATTTCACTGTTCATGTTTTATTTTTGGAACATTTTACCAGGTTCGTTCATGGAGATGTTAAACCAGAAAATTTTCTACTTGGCCAACCTGGATCACCTGATGAGAAGAAACTTTTTTTGATTGATCTTGGCTTAGGTATGCAATGGAAACCTTATGTGATTGATACTGGTTGCAAAAATTGAGCACATAACCCATCTCAATAAGATTTAACATTCCCTAATCAGAATTGCGGATGTTCTTTTGTAATGCTGTTTGTACCTAATATCATTGTAAAATGTGAGTTCACAAGTGCTCATGCTACCATTTACAATTTCAGCATCTAAATGGAAGGAAACGCCAAATGGACAGCATGTTGATTATGATCAAAGGCCAGACATATTTAGGTTAATTTTTATCTGATGACTTTTTTTGGTTATATTTTTTGCAACTTTCCTCCATATTTATCATCTGCCTTCTTTTGGACAGGGGTACAATAAGATATGCTAGTGTCCATGCCCATTTAGGCCGTACTGGTAGCAGAAGGGATGATCTGGAATCATTAGCATATACATTAATATTTCTTCTCAGAGGAAGGTTACCTTGGCAAGGCTACCAGGTTTCCATTCTTTCTCTGGACATTTGGTTATACCTGATGTACTATGTGTTATGTTCATTTGCATATTGAGTGAAGGTTTTTGGTTCTTCCTTTTGTTTGTTTCCAATAGATTCAGTGATAACGATAGTTTATCTGTGATATGTTCTTTCTTGCTCACTGATTTTGTATATAACTTGATCTGTCATGTTTATTGCAGGGTGAGAACAAGAGTTTTCTTGTTTGCAAGAAGAAAATGGCTACCTCTCCAGACCTTTTGTGCTGTTTCTGTCCCCCTCCTTTTAAACTTTTCCTGGAGAGCGTGACAAACATGAGATTTGATGAAGAACCAAACTACGCAAAGCTTATTTCCCTTTTTGATGAATTGATTGAGCCCCAGCATTTGAGGCCTATTAGAATCGATGGTGCTCTAAAGGTTATTTTACATCAGAAATTTTTTTTCTTCATATTACAGTATCAGCTAGTCAATCCACCCAATTTTAATATAATTCACATGATTTGACATTGAATGGTTTCTATATGCAGGCTGGACAAAAACGTGGAAGGTTGCTTGTAAATCTTGAAGAAGATGAACAACCAAAGAAGAAAGTTCGACTTGGAAGCCCAGCAAATCAGTGGATATCAGTCTATAATGCTAGGAGACCCATGAAACAAAGGTAACAAACTTTGACCTTTGCATGCTTGTTGTAATCTTCATTTTCACAGTGAGCTCAACTATATGACCGTATTTTGTGATGTATGACGTGAAGTTTGATCCACAAATAGTCTGAAGTCACGTGCGATTCATAGTTGTACTCAACTCCTTGGTGCGGTGCTTATGCCGTGATAATTTTTTGTCGTCCATGTCAAGGTTTAGTATATGCCAGTCAGCCAGTCTACAACTTGACCTCATTTAATTTATTCAAAGCAATGCTTTATGTATCTAATTTGCCAACAGACCATTACTGCTTTGGTATTTTGAACTGGGAACTGCAGCTAAGCATGCTATATTGTTATTAACAGTTTCTTAGTCAAAAATCAAAAGAATATACAACTTGGGTCACTGTGTGGCTTGAGCTTCAAAATACCTTTTCAATAACGTCCTTGTTTCCCTTTTTTTTATCAACAGATACCATTACAATGTAGCAGATGCCAGACTTCATCAACACATAGAGAAGGGAAATGATGATGGATTGTTCATTAGCTCAGTGGCATCTTCAGCCAATCTTTGGGCCCTTATTATGGACGCGGGAACTGGGTTCACATCCCAAGTTTATGAACTCTCACCAATATTTCTTCATAAGGTACTCTTACTCTTGAGCAAAGATTCCCTCTTTTCTCTGGAGCGTTCTGAGTTGCCTATTCTTGTACTTTTAGGATTGGATTATGGAGCAATGGGAGAATAATTACTACATCAGTGCCATAGCGGGTGCAACAAATGGAAGTTCCTTGGTGGTCATGTCAAAAGGTTTGTCTCAGCTGTTCTTTTGTTGGAGGTCTCTCATGTTACTACCATTGTTATTCTTCATAAAGGACCATCTATGTTTAGAAACTTGGCCTGTTTCTCTTTCCATTCACTTCGCAGGTGTCTCAATTTTTTTTTGGGAAGATGGTTGATATGTCCTGATGTAGTGATGTGTATATATTGACTTGCATGTTCCACACACTTAGTGTTTCTTTTGTTTATGTATTATGACATGAATGGGGTTAGTCTGACATGGTGATTTACTCTTTCCAGGAACTCCTTACACTCAACAGTCTTACAAAGTTAGTGAATCGTTTCCCTTCAAATGGATCAACAAGAAATGGAAAGAAGGATTTCATGTTACATCAATGACCACTGCAGGAAGCCGCTGGGGTGTAGTTATGTCAAGGAATTCTGGATTTTCTGAACAGGTATTTGTGGTTATTGGTGTAATATTTTTTTTTCCTGGTGTGCAAATCAGTTGCAATCTAAGCGATGGTATTTCAATTTTTTTTTTGGCATGTGAAAAAGGGTACAAAACTCTTTAGTTGTCAGAAAATAACTTGTTTTCAGATGAAATGAGTTGTCGTATTGATGGAAACCAGTCTTTTTGAACCTGACAGGGATTCTTACATCATATATCAAGTTGATTATACTTCATCTCTCTCATGTACTGCAGGTAGTAGAATTGGATTTTTTATATCCTAGTGAAGGTATCCACCGGCGTTGGGAGAATGGCTATAGAATAACTTCTACAGCAGCCACTGGTGACCAAGCTGCTTTTATATTGAGTATACCCAAGAGAAAATTGATGGACGAGACACAAGAAACTCTTAGAACATCTGCTTTTCCAAGCAACCATGTGAAGGTACGAATACATGACTAATTCCTGTGTACATTGTTTTTCTTCACAGTTCTCTCTAACCAGACCATTCAACTTACATTTCTTGTTCAAGCGTCAACTCGATCACTACTCTAACCTTGTCCCATACTGTTGTCTTTTTGTAGGAGAAATGGGCCAAGAATCTTTACATTGCTTCGATATGCTATGGCCGGACAGTATCTTGAGGCATACCCTGCACACCAACTCGGGCTTAGCATATTCGCAACTGAGTTGATGTCGGGAAAACCAGCAATCTAGTTGCTGCTCTCTGTTACTCTGTATGTGTAGGTAACATTGGCTAGGTAAACCTTACATCATGGCCAGAGTTAGGGGCGCGAGAGGAAGCAGGGAGGAAGGTGGATGGACAGCTAATAAGCTGATGAGGATGTCATCCGGCTGGTGGTCTGGTGGAGGTGGCAGAAGCGGATGCCGTCAACATATTTTGCATCAAGATGTGCTTTGCTGCAGTCCTTGCTGCGGTGCACAGCACGGATGACCCTTATAGCCTCTTTGGAGGCCTATAATCTGAGAGCCCGTTGTGTATAGCTCTTATCGTGTCCTGCGTTTTGTCTGGTGGAAGCGAAATTACCATGTTTCCAGAACTCCGGAATTGTCTCTAAATTATTGTGTGAGAATGGGTGTACTGATAAATCGGTGTATCGATTCCATTATTCGATGGTCTCATTGCATTAATGCAATAATGTTGCATTACTGATCATCTTTTTACATCTTGTGCACAGCGATATTCATGAAGTACCACTTGAGAGAGCGGCATCCATGAAAAGTCACTCCCAGAGGGTGATTATCACGATACTCCCTATTGTCACGATGCTCCTCAGAGGGCCGTTGGTCCTACAATTTGATGTCAAGTTTGACATTCCTTTTGCACATTCGAGTTTATCACCTGCCTTGCCTCGCTCAATATTCATTATCGTCTGCTTTGCGTCGCTAGCACTTAGAAATTGACCAAAATGCCCTCGTTGCTTTGTCCCTTTTTTCTATTTCTTAGGACGGAGGAAATAGGTGAATAAATGAAGGGTATCATCTTTTCGCTTATGCTTATCAGCTAGAATTTGAATTTTCAATTTTAAATTTGGAGTTGGTTTTGGGTTTTTTCATTAAAGTTTATTTTTCAGTCTTTACTTTTAGATCGCTAAGAACACGTATATAAAAGTTTTATTCACAAATTATATCCCGTGTGTAAATATGATGTTTGGCTTATTCTACGAATAAGCGAAGCAATGAAGCTGGAACTAGACTATATTCTGACTATCTAAGCGGTTCAAAAGCTATCTGAGCGGTCCGAAAGCAAAGGTTAAAAGAAACATAAAGCAATAAAAATACCCCTGAAATTAACAGAAAGCAATAAAAAATACCTCTGAAATTAACTACAAAATTAAGTAAATGGTACGTAGTCGAAGCGGTATATTTTGGGATAGAAAATGGTGTTTTTTTTTAAAAAAAAACTTATTATTACTCCCTTGACTATTAAATTGAAACATATGAGATCACTTGAAAGCTAATGAGTCATGGTGAATATACAACTGCCTCGATCTACAAGACACAATTTATAGGACACACAAAAAAAACTACAACATGCTGACTTAGAAGCCTTGGGCCTCATATAAGGTGCAAATCCTTCGCTTGGCTAGTACACAAAACTCAACATGTAAGCATATAATAATAATTTATTTCATTCTAAAACTAAACATATAAATACTAAATTATCATTCACAAATCATTTTCATAATATTTCAATCCAAATTATTTTATCATTTCTATAATATTTAACATATATCCCGTAACAAAGCGCATGGCATCATCTAGTACTTTAGGAAAAAAAAAAACTCCTTTCATCTGGAATTCTTTTTGCAGAAAAACGCGTGAACGTAGGATTAAGATCGGACGGTTCCGCATCTCGTCCCGGCAGAACAGAACACACTAACGCCGGCGGCAACTAACATCCCCACTGCGCGCATCGGAGGAACTCGTCGTCGTCGTCTCCATCTCTCCCTCCTCAGATCTCACCACTCCCTACCGATCCCCTCTCCCCCCCGGTTCTCCTCCCCTCCGCGATCCCCGCGGTCGAGATAGGCCCAAAACCCTAACCCCCCGCCCTCCTGGGTCGGCGCCCCCCGCCGCGCCTGAGGAGTGAGGACGCGGAGATGGCCTTCATGGCGGCGCTGGAGGCCGATCTGCGCGCGCTCTCCGCCGAGGCTCGCCGCCGCCACCCCTCCGTCAAGGACGCCGCCGAGCACGCCATACTCAAGGTATTGCTCCCATCGCCCGTGCCTCGTGGGTACTGGAGATCTCACTGCCGCCTCCCATTTAGTTGTTTTTTTGCTCGCTCGTTCGTCTCGGATCCAATTTAGCCAGGGGAGTTCTCTCCAATGGTTTCCGAAGTGTGGGCTCCAGCTCCAGCTCCGGTTTGGTTATTCAGTTCAAATACGCAGTGAGGTAGTGGCGTAGGAGTATGATTCCCACCTGATATTTTTGGTGATCGTAAGCAGGATAACTAAGTTTTAGCCATTTCTAATTGAACTAATTCTAAGAAATTTCAACTGTAACTGTGGTCTGCCAACTAACTTAGCTTAATCACTAGGGTTAGTGAAAATGTAGCCAATGGTTCGAGTGCAGGATTTCCATATGCTACTAGTAGTGGTTAATGATTATACAGACTAACCTAACCGGTCTGAATGCCAACCAATGCTTATATGGTTGCTGGTAGGGACTAGGGGAAACCCATTCCTTACCTGTAAAACCTAGTAAATCCTCTTTTATAATGCTAAATTTAGACTGCAGAGAATGCTTTTAATGGAGTTTAAGGAATTATTGGGTTGCCATGTTGATTTCAATCAGAGATTTTTCATTTATTTTTTTTATTTGTTCGTTTCTTATTTGAGGAACTCATGGGCTCATGCTCGAGCCAGGTGCAATGCACTTGCTTAGAATGCTTCTGTAAGAAGCCTAAGGTATCACCAGTTGTAGTATGAACTTTAAAGAGCTGGAGGAACTTAATGGGTTTTGTTCATCCATTATAGGAGATCTGGAGAAACTTTATAACTTTTTATTCTCCATGTAAGAGTTTGTACAAACTTTTGTTTTTTTAATTCAATAAGGGCTGGGCTTTGAATACAACATTGCCATTATAGAACTCTTGACAGGTTCTTTCAGTGGAGACCTCTCTTGTATTCAAGTTTCAACGCAAGGGACATACTAGAAGTAGCTTATTTGTGAAAGGAGCCATAAATCCACAGTAGACCAGAACCAGAATCTGAGCAAGAGAATGGGGTCTATCGAAATTAGTAGTGGAACACAAATATACGATGATACAATCTAACCTGATTCTGCTCAGAAGATAAGCTTTGAAGTTTGAAATACCAAGTTGGAAAATTGAAAACCTATTCTTAATATTTGATGGAATAACATCTGATAAACCAATCAAAATGACCTTTGACCTAACTACACAAGCAAGATTGTTTTCATGTATTTTCTAGAAATTGAGGTGTGAACTTGAGTGGTATGCGCTGATGTGTTTATTGCCTCTCTTCCACTTTGTTTTTCTTTTCTCAAACGTTTGAGATACTTTAAATGCTAATATGATTGACCTGACCAGATGACTGATTGTATTCTGAGATCATTTATCTTCTTTACCAACTGTATACCTGTTATTTGCAAGATAATGATTAAGCATGTCCTTCCGCCTATCTGAAGCTAATCTGTTGACGTTCTTAAATCTTTGGTATCAACAAATCTCCTCCATAACTCAAGTGAAGCCAATAATTTTGTGTTGCAATTTAGATGATGCATAGTGAACAAAAGTTCTGTAATTTCTTATGTTAGACCACAAAGTACCTTTTAACTTGTTTCCTTCTTTTAACCGTCATGCTACTTGTTTCCTAACTTGTATTTGAATTCTTTTTGGCATGCAGCTCCGTTCTCTATCTAGTCCGATGGAAATAGCTCAAAATGAGGATATATTGCGGATGTTTCTGGTGGCATGCAGTGTTAAATCAGTGAAGCTGAGTGTAATAGGACTATCCTGTTTGCAAAAGCTTATATCTCATGATGCTGTAGCTTCTTCTGCATTGAAGGATATACTGACTACTTTGAAGGATGTGAGTTTTGATCGCTTCTGTATCCATATACCTCTCACTATTTTCATTTGTTCTTTATTTGGTCTTAATAGATGTATAAACTGAATCACATATTTTGTGTCATCTAGTTATCCTGATGACCTGATGAGTCTGATAGTGTTTTTCTTTTTGAAAAAAAAAACAAACGTATGTTTAGAAAACATGATTAATTACTAAGTCCTTTTGTTTTTGCATTAGGATATTTTGTTGTTTTATTCTTGAAACAAATTCTGTACAATATTAGCTGATGATTTCTCAATCCTGTTTTTTGTTTCATTTTCCTTGCAGCATGCAGAGATGACAGATGAGATTGTTCAACTTAAGACTTTGCAAACAATTTTGATTATTTTTCAGTCGCACCTACAACCTGAAAGCGAGGTAGCAATGCCAATGGTTGCCATCAGTTTAATTGGTTGATTTGTATAATAGATGCAAATGTTTTGTTATTTTCTGGTGTAGTTGCCTTTAGATCAGTCTGAAGCTTCCCCTGTTATAAAGAAAGCACCAAGATTACTGGCCATTATCAAACAACTTGTTACCGCTGTTAGCATTTTCAAAAATCATTTTCATGTCTTTCTAATTTGGCTTATGTGTATGAATATCTTCTTTCCACGCAATAAGGAAATCACTTCCCTTATTTTATTTTGGAGCAGTCTGTTTGGATTTGGGGGTTATGACATGTTAATGTGTGAAACATAATGCATTCTTGTTCAACATATTCTGGTTGACTCTAGAATGTGTTTCTATAATGATAAAAAGAGTAACTCAAGTTGCAGTATTAATTTTTGAAGTCTTCTGAGGAAGTTAACATGACTAAAATTTTCTATTCCTTGGGACTGTTTAGAACCTTCCCTCTTGTTTTGCATAGTTCATGCAAAACCTAAATAATATGTGCAGTATCATTTTATCTCTAATGCCTTTCCAGGATCATAGGAATGTAACCATGAATAGGTAGGCCTATTTATCAATATATTGTTTATATCTCTTCAGGTGAACATGTCTCAAGCATTTGACATATGCCTTCACCTACTTGAAAGCAACCGTTCTTCTGACAGTGTCCGCAAGTAAGTTCCTTCGCTTACCATTAACTCAGCTATTCTGACTTCTTTTATTGTGCTCTCCTAACACACATATTGTCCTTAGCACGGCAGCAGCTACATTTAGACAAGCAGTGGCATTAGTCTTTGATAATGTTGTTCATGCCGAATCACTTCCCTCCAGTAAAGCTTCTTCAGCAAGACTCAGTTCACGCGCTAGCTCTGTTGCTGATAATGTCACTCGTAGCTTCAGCCACACACTGTAAGACTGTCTATTTTATCTTACATTATACTTAACGCCATGCAGGAATGCTATTTGGACATTTGAAATCTGTTGTTCATGATATGCCCTTTTTTCCTTGGGAGGCTTTGACAACAATGGCACCGTATGTATTATAGTATAATATAATCAGCTTCACAATAAAGCTCGATTCTTTTTTTGCCATCGTGCCTATTAATGAGCACACACTTGCATTGCTGAATCAACAGTTCTCTTATTTGTACTGTGTTTAGTATATCACTCATGTTCATGTGCTTTATTTGGATGATATGGCAACCACACAATGCTTGTATTTCCATTCCACAAGCATAGACACATGACAACTAAATGTATCACTGATGCAACACATATATGCCATTTTTCACTCTGTGGATTTTTTCATTTCTTTTGCTTGTTAAATTTGTATTTAGCTTACACTAGCACTGCATGACAGGTCATTAGGGAGGAACTCTGTGGAGCCTACCGTGAGGGAAAAACTGAGCAATGTTGGCAAGCTTGGTCTCCGTTTACTTGAAGACCTGACAGCTCTTGCTGCAGGTGGATCTGTATGTGCGAACAATTCCTGATTGCACTTATTTATTCTTGCCACATGATTTTTTGAGACTTGCCGCATAATTTTTTGGAGTATCTGCCAATTTTTATTACGGAATTTCTACACCTTATTTTCTGATTAAGCTATTGTTGTTATTTTCTGTAGGCTACGTGGCTTCGTGTTTATTCATTGCATAGGACATTTGCCCTTGACATTCTTGAGTAAGTTTTCTCCACAGTTAAATGTCTGAATGTTTTTTTGTATTTTTTCAAGGCAATTATAATTTTGTAGTTATCTTGACCCAATCTTACCTTTTTTATTTCAAATTAAGTTCTATGTTAACAAGATGTTTCAATTGAACCATTGTTATCGGATGTTAGTGAAGCTCATGATCTGATAACACTGATTTGGAGTGTTGGGTTCTGTCAGGAGTTTTAGAAAATAATGTGAAGGACATTATACAACTGAAATTGAAAAAAACTAATTTCAACATTTGTGTATTCACCTAGAAACTAAACTTTATAGTGCAACTTGTATATAGAGCAAGCTAGAACTCATCTAGACATATTTTGTGCCAGGTTTGTGCTATCAACATATGTTTCTGTATTCCGGGCATTGTTACCTTACCAGCAGGTTAGTTCCTATGTTTCTTTTATTATGTCTAATATTTGTGCAAATGTTGATTTGTAACTTACGATGCCATTAAAAACCTGCCAGGTCTTGCGGCATCAGATATGCTCGCTTCTTATGACTTCACTCCGTACAAATGTGGAAGTAAGTACATCAAAATCAGGAGTTAGTTTTTAAAATTGTGTAACGTGCTCAAGTACATTTGCAAAATTGTTGCGTTACCACAGTGGCAAACGTCATTGGCAGCAGAACAAACTTCTGACTTACAACATTACTAGTATAGAAGTTTAACACCAGTTCAGATGCCACACCACTTATATGAGGGAGGCAAATTGGATTCCATCTAAAGGAACAAGTCAGTCAACATTTCCCTGGCCTATTGAAGTGTTTGCACTTTGCACAGCCTATATAGTTGTACTTTCCTGAACAAGCAACCCTCTTTGCCAGCTTGGATTTTTGAAATTCCTTCCTAATTGGGTAAAGGCCTAAGAGATGCAAAATGTGCCTACCCTTCCATTTCTGTTGAATTTCTCAGCATGAATGCGAGGATCTCCAAACTGGCAGTTTTAATGCCAGTTCTTGAGGTTGTTAATGCATTTCACACCATTAACAGCATGGATCTTTTGGTCTCATCAATCCTTATATTCCCTCAGATAGTTAGAATCCTAAGCAATGCGACAAACTTCTTTCGATGTGCCTGTTCCTAATCCATTTGCTGGGAACGGGAAAACTCTTGGCTATCTGACCTTCTTGATTACATGCCCTCTTCTTGTTATTAACATCGTGAATGTGTTTTTTTTTTCCTGGTTTATCTTCAGCTTGAAGGTGAAGCAGGGGAACCTGCCTTCCGTCGTTTAGTCCTACGTTTGGTAGCTCATGTCATCAGACTGTACAGCTCTTCACTTGTTACTGAAAGCGAGGTACCACTCTGACCATACTCACATCCATGCAAGCACTTCTGATGGACTTGTTATCCACTAAATAGCTCCAGGGTGTGATTTATTGAAGAATTATGCACTTTTTTAGAATTTTTTTAAGCTCCAATTACTGCCGTTCCTGTGCTTTTTATATATGAAGCAAAAAGTTCCTCTTCTTTCTCCAAAGAAATGTAGGTTTTTAGTAGAAGTTGACTGTGTTCATTGTAGCTAGAAGTTATGGAAGCATAGGACTAGCTACCTTTGTTTCAATATGCTTGGGAATGTATCATGCAAGAATGTACTAACTAGGAGAAGGAGAACTAACAATCTTGATATTGAAGTGCATCAAGTTGAGTTGGATTTAAACAGATTTAAACACCAAAAGACAAACATCTTTTGGGATTATCCACTTGTACTCAAAACTCCACTAGTCAATCCACTTTATGCTACTGCCAGAAATCAACCTGAATTTGCACAATAGATATTGATGTGATGTCTATGTCAGAGCTCTCATTCTGCTAGGATAGTTCCTGCCAAATATGTTCCACAATATGCTTAAACTTGAAATCACGTGTTGAAAGATTAGTTGAACTTTTATGTTCCCCCCCTTTATTCTAAACCATTCTCAAGTTATGCCATCCTACCTGACTACCAAGCTGCCTCTCTTGACAGGTTTTCCTTAATATGCTCGTAAAGGTTACTCGTCTGGACTTACCATTATGGCATCAGATACTCGTTCTTGAAATTCTAAGGGTAGGTATTCCTTGTCTACAAAAGACATTAATGCCCATGGGTTTTATGCTTTCTTGGCTTCTGAAGTCAGCTGGATTCATAAGAAAATCCCTCATTTTCCCTTATTTTTTCTGATTTGAAATATATTCTTTTGAAACACTGTATCATTTAAATATGATGCTTGTGGGGTGATCTTTTCTCATATGCCCTCCTGGTGTTTTCTTATCAGGGTTTTTGTATAGAAGCCCACACACTGCGATTGCTATTTCAAACATTTGACATGTACGTATTAAATCCTCTTGAAATTCTATTGAGATTAAGTTTATGCTTTCTCTGTTGTGGGTAATTTTTTGATTCATTTGTTTATCTTAAGGTTTGTGCTTGTGGGTCACTGTGTCCTCTGGCCTTGTTAAATAGAAATTTGTACGTTTACTTCTTTTCAAAATCAATATGCACAGTTTTACGATCTGATTCATTGTTTATACTCCCTCCGTTCCAAAATATAAGGCACAACCACCCTTAACCCAAAGACCAAGAAATAATTAATATCTCATAGTTGTCATGAATCACCTCAATTAATACAATACATGCAACCAATAAAATTAAAGATCTTGTGAGAATAGGATTTAAAATAAAAATAATTTAGGGGAGAGAATGTGCTAATTAATTACATGCATGCATGCATGCCTTATATTATGAAACCACTTTAAAAAGTAGTTGTGCCCTATATTTTGGAATGGAGGGAGTATTTTGCAATAATCTGTCCGTCTTAAATTGTAATGATTTCATAGCTGAACTAATTTTCCCATGTAGGTTCCTCATATTGTTATGATCCAGTTGTTTAATTCTAGTACAGAAATGTTTAGTGTTACTTGTTAGGGTTTTGTTGGAGCAGCTCCTCAGTGATGAATGATGCCATTTCTAGCATGTAACCAGCATGTTGCCCCGTGTACCATCTGTAAACTCTGACATAGTTTGTTCTATCATTGTACTATTTTTTTTGTCAACCTCTGTTAACTAGTGATTTAGTTGCATCACCATTATGGCTTTTGCAAATAAACTATTTATGGACTTAATGTGTAGGAACTTAACCTGTTAGATCCTTTAGCATCTTTTTTAGTTACAGATGGACCTCATGGAATTTTTCAATCAAGTTATAGGGTTATATGGTTCCGATGATGTCAAGAGTACATCTAGAGGCAAAATAAGTAGATGTAATTAATCCTGTAAAAGATATCATGAACAGTAAATTGAATTACATGTATGTTATAAATAATCAACAGAGAACATGATCAGTCAACTCTCATATTAGAAATGTACCTTTTGAAGATTAGATAAGGTTATTATGACTCATGATTGATATGAGTGGTATTTAGCTGCACGCTTTCTTGGGGTCATCATTTACCTAGCAGGGTATTTTGGTTTTCAAAATTATGATATAGGAGTTGTTTATATGTTATATAAATATATTTGAGAGCAAGAAACCTATCAGTAGGATTAACATTTTCATTTTCACATTATATGGAATAGGCATTGCTTTTAACACCGAAAATGAATTTTGTTACTAGGCCAGACATATCCCTTTTTAGCTCTTTGCTGTACAAGTTACTGCAAGTGTGCTTTGCATTTCTGGGCATACAAGTTACTGCAATGCTTCGTGGGAAATACTCAGCTGATGTTTTTTTTTTTTCATTTTTCATTTTCTGCTAATCCTACAGGAATCCTACAAATACTAATGTGGTGGAGAATATAGTCAGAGCACTTGCTTTGGTGGTAGCCACTATTCAGGTAATACTGGTTTGCTTGCTAGAAGACAATCTCGCCGTGGTTCATTAGCGTTGTGCATTTACTATAATTCTCAACCTTTTCCTTTCCGTGTTGTTGTTTTACCATTTATATTTGACACTATTTTCCATTTTCCTTTTGGTTTTTAGTTCATTTCATTATTTGTTTGATTTATTGGCTCTTTATTTGTTTTTACGCAAAGTGAATATCATATCTGTTTTTTAAGGTCCTAGACTTATTCAATGGTTAGGTGTGGTAATTTAGAAATTCTATCTCCAGAGCATAACCCTTTCCGAATTTGTGCTTTGTGTATAATTACTGATTTTGGATTATCTTGGCTTGTTTTTGCACTTAAATCAAATATTTGATAATGGACTCAGCTCCTGCTATTTATTATCTGCACATAGTTGCATAGCCAGGCCGAGGATTGTTCAAAATGGTGTTGTAACTACTGTTCTATCATTTGCATAAGTCATTATTCTTTCAGTGAATTGCAATTCTCTGCAGTTCATCAGCCTAGTCCTAACCATCCACCATATATTTGAGCCAGCTCTGTCAAGCAATATCTAGTTGGGAACTCCCTATCTATCCCATTAAAAAAAATACAGACAATCACCAATCCTGCATAGCTGTATGCAATACCGAGCCATCTGAGGTAGATTAATGCATCCATTAGATCCATAAGTGGCCTTTTCAAAGTTCACTTGGTACCTCATTTATATTCCTTCGTTGGAATTACACTTAAATAAGTAGTGTACTTCACTTTGATTTCAGCAATAACGCTCACTCTTTTCATGCATATATACCTCTGGACTCTTAATTAAGATTTCCTTGTCTTGTTTCAATTGGGCTCTTTTTTGTTCGGTAGCATGGGATTTACCCTTTTAATTCCTTGGAATTCTGGCCTATAGATCTCCTTGTTTGGGAAAAAAAAAGCAATTGTTAGCTCTATGTTCACTCTCCATAGCACCTTATGCAAAATTTGTTCTGTCATTTACAACATCTTTTTCCAAAGTCATACTTGTAAGTGTTCTCATGCTTTGGCTGATGTAGCTTCATCTTCATTTTTCTTTCTAATGCCATAGTAATTAATATTTAAAAATGCTAAGGTTCTGTCAAGCGATGAAAATGTTTTTTTATGTTGATGGATACCATCTTCTAAACCATATTTATCTCTACATTGAGCATATGGCCTATCCTTTTAACTTAGCACATTTTTGTATTACAGGCTTCAGACTTAAGTGAGGAGACTCTAGCAGCTGTTGCTGGAATGTTCAGCAGTAAAGCTAAAGGTACCATCTACAGTTCCTAAAGTCATTCCAGAATTTTCTTCTTCTGATGTTTTTATTTATTTGTCCCAAATACTAAATAAATACAGATAAAGCAAATGAAGTAAATGGATGAGTGCCAACCTCAGCCAAATTTGCCCCAATAGTACAAACACAGCACTAAGGCCTCTAGTACTAGTCGCTAAGCGTAGTTATTGACTTATCGTGACCACTTTCAGTTTAATCAGGAAAAAAAGCTTACCAGATCCTGGGCAGATTTCGTGTCCACATATTCAAGACACTTTGTACTGGCATAAAACCAGTCAGATTGTCCAGTTCTGAGCCGAACCAAGATTTAAAACTAGGTTTATTGAGCCTATAAAATACATTAGTTGTTGCAAGATCCAGAGTTCCAACCAATGAACCAACAGATTCATAGGACAGATCGCACACCCTGCTTTCACAGCCAGGAAAGAGTTCATATGATATGTTGCTACTACGATTTGTTGTTAGTAAAGGTTGGATGAATCAATATCAGTCTGACCCTCCTGATTCCAAACTTCCAATAATTCTTATGGATAGTTGTACTTCATGACCATCCATGATATGGAAAATGTTTCTAATAATTTGCATGTCAAGAAAGTTTCATGACTATCATCGGTTAATAATTCTATTGTGTTTTCCCAAATTGGTGTCTCTGTAATATCATCAATAATCAGTTGAGGTTTCTTATGGCATATGTTAGCATTGTACATGCAGGGATTGAGTGGAGCATGGATAACGATGCATCAAACGCTGCTGTTCTGGTGGCTAGTGAAGCACATACCATAACTCTGGCTCTTGAAGGCCTCTTAGGTGTAGTTTTCACTATTGCCACTTTGACTGATGAGGCTTTAGATGTCGGCGAGGTAAAAAGATAATTCTGAAGAGTATATGAACTCACAACTGTAATAATGCTAATAATTTGTTTATTTTTCCTTTTAGCTTGAATCGCCAAAATGTGAATTGGGTAGTACAGAATGCTGTGGACAATTGGCTCTACTTTGTGCGGCTATGGTCAACTCATCATGGCTAACCATCCTTGACTCTCTTTCACTTATTTTGATGAGGTCAATCTTCAAAACTACCTTTCCTATTATTGTAAGTTATGTGCCTTTTCCTTATGCTTTTACTCATGGAGAATCCAATTGACAGGTCGCAGGGAGAGGCTATAATATTAGAAATACTTAAAGGGTACCAGGCATTCACTCAGGTTGTTATATGATTACATAGGATGCACCACTATGCTTAAATAGAGAATATCCCGTGATATGGATTTCATGGGCTGCTATTTTTTTTGTTGCATTTCTGTTTTTACCCCTTTTCTTATTCTCTAAAGTGTTTCTTTCTAGATAATTATGTTGATTAACTTCTCTTGATAAATTCTTTCAGGCCTGTGGAGTTCTCCGTGCTATAGAACCCTTAAACTCTTTTCTAGCATCACTTTGCAAGTTTACCATCAATAACCCAAATGAAGGGGAGAAGAGAAGGTATGCCACTAGGCACTAGCATCATGTTTATTAGCATATTGCTGAGCACACAATTTGTTAGAAAGCAGCGTTTCCCTTGACGATTCTCCCCTAAGTTCCTCTTGGATTCTCACGAAACGATATGCATCTCTTTGTAATATGATTCATCAGAAATACTTACATAAGCTAACCTTGTGATTTTGGCCATGATATATGTTCATTTTATGGATTCCATCCTAAATAAATTGCCTATGTTTATTCTGGCGTCCATTACTCATCCTTAAGTTGTTAGGAGAGCATTAAAATGGTTCGGCAACTGTAGCTTTATTAAAGACAGCCTTTTTCCTCTTCTTTTTTCCCCAGTTTAGAAATCAAGAATTTGTTAAGAGGATATAAGTGGCAGAAGTAATTTTTTTTTATTAGCTTTGGCACATAACAATAACATGAATGGATACTACAACTAGCTTCTCAGTTTACATTTTTCTTTAAAATGAATTTTGGAATGCAAGGATTACGATTTATTATTAGCTCAATTTCTCACGTGACATTCTTTACAGTTACTGCTTCAGCTGTCCACCAAACTGAAAAAAAGACGTTCTTATTCCTTTCCATTCACAGGATTTGAGTATATTTTCCCTGCCTTATCTCTTATTATCCTTTTATACTTATTCTTAGCATTGTACTCTCTCCTGGATCAAAGAAGGTAGAGATGTTAGTGGATCAGCGTGATAGTATCATTCTAACACCGAAAAATGTGCAGGTAACAAGTGTGTAACATTTACAGTCATGTGATGCTCTGTGGTTCTTTAATGTGTATTTATAGTTTGGTTAAATTTGAACCCAGGCCCTGAGGACACTTTTCAATGTGGCACATCGGTTACACAATGTGCTTGGTCCTTCCTGGGTTTTGGTAAGTGGAGAGATTTATTAAATTCATCACTTTAAATGCTATTGTCTCTGACTCTTCTAATTTTATAGGTCTTGGAGACTCTTGCAGCACTTGATAGAGCTATCCATTCACCACATGCTTCAACCCAGGTTCACTGATTATAGTCTTTGTCCTCAATACTATATCTGTGAAAGTGTGAAAGACGTTGTGTTATAAAATAAATTGTCAAACACTTATGTGAACGTTGTATAATTCATCAGTAGTATAACAAAAGCCATCATAGTTCTCCCTCTCAATCTAGTTACTCTGTTGAATTGACATGTGGAATATTTTGTGGTGAAAGTTCTCGAGGAGTAGGCCCCCTTTGTCAAGTTGACCTATCATTAGCACTCTTAACATTTTTTAGTTGATGAATCCAATTTCTCTTGCAGGAAGTGTCTGCTTCTGTTTCAAGACTCTCAAGAGATACATCTGGACAGTACAGTGACTTCCATATTCTCTCATCTTTAAATTCTCAGGTCAGGAGGCAAACACGATCCTTTTTTTTATGTGTGATTTTTTGGGTTTATGTTTTCTATTCTCCAACTCTATATGCTAAATGGTATCATCGTTCTTTGCTGGAGGAAGTTATTTGAAAGTTCAGCCTTGATGAACATAGCTGCAGTGAAGTCACTTTTGTCTGCGTTGCATCAACTGTCAAGTCAGCACATATCAGGAAATTCTCAATTATCGGGACAACAAATTGGGAGTGTTACATTTTCAGTGGAGCGCATGACGTCAATACTTGTCAATAATCTGCACCGTGCGTGTTATCTTTGCTTGGACACCATATTTTTTTTTTCCGATAAGCAATATATTTCAATGATGTATTGAAATTTGTTCAAGTATAAGTATCAGGAAAAATATTTTTATGCTAATAACTATACTCTGGAATATATGTGCTAAATGTTTGTTGATTTAGTTTGCCATAATTCCACATTTCCAATGACAAATGGACTTTGTGATTAGTGCCATTACTTTGAGCCATGTACTTGCAGGATTCAAACCAGCTCAGTTTTGTGCCGATATATCACATGAACATGTTAATCCTATATCAGATGATGAGTGCACATTACATGAAAGGATGAATTATTGCACAACCATTTATAGTGCATGTCATAATTCATGTGCAAAAATGAACGATGGATTCTGGGAGGATTAGGGCTAAACAATGTAGTCAGCTTTATCTAAGTCCTAAGTGTGTATAATTCAATTTCTTAGCAGATAAATGTTTTTATGCAATAGTATCTTTTCTTTTGAGGCTTTGTTGCCTGGTATTAATACATTTCAGCCTTTTACAGGAGTTGAACCAATTTGGGACCAAATTGCTGCTCATCATCTTGAGGTAAAGTTGCATCTTTCTAGATTAACTGTTAGTGCTGATGTCTTATTTAATGCCTTGACGATCTTAGTGATGTCAATACCACAGCTTGCCAATTGCTCCAACGCACAACTACGGAATATGGCGCTGGAATCTTTAGATCATTCAATCTGTTCTGTAGTGGGTTCTGAAAAATTTCAGGGCATCAGTTCAGCTCCTCATCATTTTCAAGAGGAAAAAGTAAGGGCTTAATAAACAGGCCTTATTCTCTTTATTTGATTTCTCACTGACCTCTTTGTTTCTGTGCTTACTAGTTGCTCAAAGAAAGCGAAACTGTATCATTTGAGTATGCTGTTTTATCTCCATTGGTGATCCTCTATTCCTCCAACAAGAATATTGATGTTCAAATGGGTGCACTTAAAATACTACTGCATGTTCTTGAGGTACCTTTTCTGCTTTGAAATTATCTTCCTGGGTATATCAGATAATAAAGTTCTTAATATTATGGTTTAACTGTTTCAGAGACATGGAGAAAAACTGTCCTATAGCTGGCCTAGCATTCTTCATATGTTGAGGTGTTCATGCATGATACAGTTTTTTTTTAATTCTTTTTGTCTATTTACTTACTTAAATCAATCTTTTGCCAGGGCTGTTACTGACGCATCAGAAAAAGATCTTATCTCCTTGGGTTTTCAGGTAAAACTATAAACTTCATAGTGCTATGTTCAGCGTGATATGAGCCCTGCATATTTACCTTTAGAGTAAATTTCACAAAACTGTAACTTTTAGAGCATATTGCCCATGCGCTACAACGGGATTTTAATTAAAAAGACAATTATTATTAACCTGTTATTACCATCATTTTTCTGCATATATAATCTCTTAATTTCTACATATATTTGTTGCTGACATGTGCACCCTCTGGCCCCACACTATTATTTTTCCTTCCAACAAAAAGTAGAGAGTTGGTGTTGGGGGTGGTTGACATGTGGGCCCTCTTTCTTTCAAAAAATTGTGGGGTTGCTGGTGGGGGTTGTGGCAGATTCACCACTCACCACCACCACTACTCCCTTTTAAAGGAGTATAGATTTCACAAAACTGTAACTATGTTGTCGAAACTATTACTTTGCTACAACGTTAGTTAGACATTTCGTAAACCACAATAATAGCTAACTATTTTATCAACAAACTAACTTTATCTACTAGATGAGTTTGACATGCGGGTCCAATTGCAACAATGCGTGTATTACATGTGTCTGACAGGTAGGCCCAAGATATCAGGTTATAAGACGTTTTGACTTTGGTCAAAGTCAAACTACTTTAAGTTTGACTAAGTTTGTAGAAAAAAGTAGTAACATTTTTAACCCAAGACAAATTTATTATGAAAATATATTCAATTATTGATTTGATGAAACTAATTTAGTATTACAAATATTACTATATTTGTCTATAAACTTAGTCAAACTTGAATCAATTTGACTTTGACCAAAGTCAAAACTCTTATAACCTGAAACGGAGGGAGTGCTAGATTGCCGTGTGGACTGTGGAGTAACTTTTTTTTAATGGAAAAAAATCATTAGCTAATGTCGCAGTTTTTTAAATACCAGCTAAAGTTGTAGGAAACTGATAGTTTAAGATAATAATTGTAGTTTTGCGAAATTTACTCCTACTTAAGCGTGGAAGCATGACCTACATTTCGCCTCGAAAACATAGAAGGAATAAAGAAGCGTGTTCTGTGGGATGACAATAAATAATGCGGGCTAACTGTTTTATAATGCCAACTGAAATGCTGTAGGAAATACCCCACACCCTAAGTACATACAAGTCATTTTCTCTTGACATTTTCAAAAGTTTTGCACTTGATGTTCACATGTCATTTTCTCATTACATTTTGATTTTGCAGAGTATACGTGTGATAATGAATGAAGGATTGGCAACCATTCCTGTGCAATGCCTTGATGAGTAAGGCTCTGAATTCACTATTTCTGTTATTTTTTTCTATCAGTAAAAACCGTGTCGAATGGGAGAGGCTCTTTTCCTCCTATTTTCAACGTGGAAAAGAACTGTGAATAGAATGGTCATGGTTGTCGGCAAATTCTGTGGTAACATGACAGTACGTACAGACAGCAGCAATTCAAAAGTTTCGTGTATTTCATTACAGAGAAACGATCTTTTTGCAAAAAAAAAGAGACAATGGTGCGTATTTTGTCAAGAAATTTTAGTACTTTTGAGGGATTCGATCACCATGGCTCTTGCATTTTTTTTCTTGCCTTAATGATGCGTGACTTGTCACCATGCATGAAGATGGCATGTCTGGTTTTCAAAGCAAAGTTCCTACAAATGTAAAACGCATTAAAATAAAAGGAACTACAACTGCGTAGCTTTAGTGTTTGCCTCCTTTCAATATTATTAAAAAGGGCTTAGATATAAGTGTGGTTAATTCGAAACTGAAATCTCATGGTAGCTGACTGGGCACCAAAGGGCTTAAGGCAATCTCAGTGACATACGGCCCAGACCCATCTTGCATTGAGACAATGAAGATTTCACAAATATTCAGTAACATGTAAGGAATCATTCATATATACAAACTACAAATACAGTAATCCTCAATTGTTATCTGGTGTATTGAGTACTTGCAAAGTAGATGATAGTTGATTTATGAAGAAGGAAACTGATTTTGCCCATGGAGCTGAACATGCATGGCTACAGTTCATGAATTATTTGCTTATTATGTTGCAGTCTTCTCTTATGCTTTCTCTTGTAAATGCGTGCAGATGCATTTTGGTAACCGGAGCTTATGGCACCCAGAAAACTGACATAAACATAAGTTTAACAGCAGTTGGCCTTTTGTGGACTGCTACTGACTTTGTTGTGAAGGGATTAATAAGCAAATCTGCTGAGAAAGCAAATGGCATGGATGAAGGTGCATGATTGATTTCAACAATACTACTATCCTCTTGTTTAATGGATAGTTAATCTGTTGTTCTGTTTTGCCTTGCAGAAGCTGAGTCTGGTGGAACAGTGAAAGAGGAAGCGCTATCTTCCAGTGAGAAAGACATCAAACAAAGTCCTCTAAAAAGTGTGGTTGATTATAATAAACTTTTCTTCTCAGTGTTTTCTGTGCTTCAAAAACTGGGCGCGGATGATCGTCCTGAGGTACTCTTTTTGAGCACGCTATTTGTTCTGTGCATAAACACCTATGATTTGTGGAATATATTCTGAGTAGCAGTTTTGTGCTTCCCATTATTACTGTCGTGCTGCATTATTTGTAGTTTGCTATTCATCATGTGTATTTGAATATCATCAATTTTGCAAAAGTTTGCAATATTGCTCATGAGTGGATAATAGTGTGCATTCACAAGTTTGTGTTGTACGTTTCAAGGTTCGGAACTCTGCAGTCCGGACTCTCTTTCAGACACTCAGCACCCATGGGCAAAAACTTTCGAAAACCATGTGGGAGGATTGTCTCTGGATATATGTTTTCCCTATGTTAGAGCGTGTTTCTCACTTGGTAAGTAGTTTAGCAATTGGTTAACACATTTTATGTTCAACCTAAATTTTATGTGATTATAGTGTGGTTAAATCTTTGTTTTAGGCATCTACTTCGTCTAGAGATGAGTGGCAAGGAAAGGAACTTGGAACTCGAGCAGGGAAAGCTGTTCATATGCTTATCCACCACAGGTATTCAAATTTGTACTTTATTTATTAATGAAAAAAAGACCTACTGCTGTTAGGCTTCATAATCTGCTTTTGGAGAAGCTTAATTTAATTATTTCTGGGTCTCACACTACTCTCACTAGATAGTAGAGCTTTTGATTACACTATATTACTTCATCAGGGAATACACTTTGTTCTGATGGACCCCCCCCTTTCTTATTTCCAGTCGAAATACAGCACAAAAACAATGGGATGAAACTATCGTTCTTGTACTAGGTGGCATAGCACGACTTTTGCGTTCCTTTTTCCCTTTCCTCCAGCAATTGAGCAAATTTTCTTCTGGTAAGTGTTCATTGTACTGTCCATTATCCATTTTTCTCGGATTGGATATAAATTATATAAATTACCAGTTGGATTGTATCTTAAAATTTTCAGGTTGGGTGCTTTTGCTTGATTTTGTCAAAAATGGTATCCTAAATGGTAGCAAGGAGGTCGCTCTTGCAGCTATAAATTGTTTGCAGACGTTTGTTGGCTCAAACTGTTCAAAGGTTCTCTCTCTCTCACCCCACCCCCCAATGCACACACAGCCACAGTATATTATGAATAATTACCGGTTTCACAAGCTAAGAATGTTACTGACTGTTATAGTTAATTTTAAGTGAAACTGTCAAAAAAAATTTGAAAAGCCACTCAAGCTTGGCTCGCTTTAGGTTTATCTGGAACTCAAAACTACCCGAACTTGAGCCCGTGTGAACGTCTAGCTCTTTAACGAACCAAGGTCAAGCTATTCGGTGAAATATTGAGTGTGTCTTTGGTAGTTTAATGGATGAGCTTGGAACTTCCCTTGAAAACCAAATAGCCAAAGCCCATGTGCACACTCTAAGGCCCAAGTAGGCCAACGCCATGCACTCACAATGTTTTTGTCGAGTTCTCACTTGGCTGTTGGTTGTGTGGGGTTCTTTTGTTTTGCTGTTTTTGCCTTCTCCTTTATAAATATTTTTTTCTTCCTTAATGAAATGAAATGCAGCTCTCCTGCGTTTTCGAGAAAAAAAAATTCATCTGTTGACTGTTTGGACTAATGATGGCATTTTTGTGCTTTCTGCTATAACCCTGAGAGAGTGGGGGTGGGGGACTGAAGAGTATACTTTATCTTTGAAAAACCTCCTTCCTGTCAAAACTAAAAACTTCATTAGTGCCACTGGCTGAAATAGCATGTGTTGGACCTGTCACTTATTCCTGGCATTATTTTCACAAATTAGAGAAAAGAACCGTGAGTTCTTATTTCAGTTATTATTTTCACAGAACTGGCCATGAATATATGTTCCATGTATACTTTTTCAGGGCAATCTAGAATCCTCCTATGTCAAATCTGTTCTTGATATTTATGAACTTGTTCTTCAAACTTCGCCAAATTATAAGAATGACTCTGCTGATAAAGTGAAGCAAGAGGTTCTTCGTGGTCTTGGTAATATATGCTAGTTTTTAGAACTTTCAATGTACTGGCAAACTGAAACTACTAATCATGTTAGTGATCTTCTCCATGCAGGAGATCTCTATGTTCAAGCACAATCTCTGTTTAATGATGAAATGTATCTAAGGCTCATGGCCGTTATGCATCTGATGATTAAGAGTTCCATGAATCCTACAGATTACGATAATGAATTGGTATGCCTGTGAAGGGACATTCTCATCAATTGCATTTTGCTACACCATGGAGTATAAGCAACACTTTTTCTTTTTGCTATGCAAAGTATTTGGCTATTTTACATTAGCCAGACATCCTAGTAAATGCACCTTGTGCCATGGTTGTTCTTACATGAGGGTAGAATATGAGAATTAGCTGCCTGGTTGGCACCTACTGGTCTATGGTCCTGGGATTGACACCTAAGATTGTTTTTGAGTAATCCTGAATATTTTTGGTTCTATTGGCTACTTTACAAAAAAACAAACCAGGGTCAACAATGGCTTAGTGAAGAATACTAATCCCAATTTTAATATTGCATATATAGTTTACATCAGATCAACCAACCATCCACATGAACTTATTTGTAGCATATGTAATTCTGTACAAAAAAAAATATTGTACAATTTAAACATACATGTTTATGTAGATCCATCCACAAAAGTCCTTCTGAAGTAAAGGGGATGGATTTAGATACACTATCAGAACCACCGAATCCTTTTGAAGAAGTCATGGGATTTCTCAACAACCTTGGGGATTTATTATAATAAAACTGTTTTGTGCTATTTGTCATGTCTTAGCCAGTTCTTTTATTCATCTTTTTAAATTTTCAGGGTAGTATCCCTGCTCTGCAACGAGGTATCTTGGAAATTATTCCTATGCTACGTCCAACAACTATGTTATCTTCAATGTGGTCACCTCTCCTCCTCGAACTACTGTGCTACCTTAATAGCCATGATACTCCCCTGCAGAAACAGGGTAAAGAGATGCATGAACAGAAATCTGATGCAGCAAATGGTGCAACACATGGTTTTCGTAAGACTGCATCATACCTGATATCCAACTTTTCATAATATAATGAAATACAATATCTTCTTGATTTACTCTCTGTGATTTTATTATGGTTACAGTTGAACGGAGTCATCTCAATAACAGCAGCACAAAAATGGATAATGCAGTGGGCTGTGGCTGGGGTATTATGTTCATAGAAAAGCTTGTGCCGATTGTTGTCAACCTATTTCTGGAGGCTCCACAGAATGAAAGGTTTAATTCCTCTCCGGAAGTTATTCGATGTCTTGGAAGGTATTTTCTTTGCATAATTCAGTTTGCTGTTACTAACAAAGCTTTGACTAAAAAAGTTCTGCTGCCCTTATTTGTGAACCATTGCAGTTACATTGCCCCAATTTTGCAAACGGAAGCATTTTTGTAGTTCTATAATTTTGTAGTAACAAAACATGATAGTTGAGGAAGGCTCAGGCATCTTCCTTTAATTTCGAGCCTCATTCTTAATAATATCTGATATGAGAGCCCCTCCTCTCATATCCAGCGTTTTAATTTTTTAGTTTTAGGACCAGTGAGCAAGAATGTATAATTATTCATACATGGAAGGAGTGTAGCTGTATTGGTATTGATAGTGATAGGAAATTGATAGCTGGATGTTAGAAGAGAATATTAGTGCGAACTCATGTTTGGGTGTAAACATGCAAACCCCCCAGATGAATCGCAAAGGTGGTCTTGAGAAGGTAGGATCCCTCAAAATGTATTTCACAACATCTCAGGGGGGTTAGTTCTAATCATCCAACTTGACTCTCAATGGTTTATTGAATCTAAACATAGGCTTGCACTTGCTACATAATCTTTTTATTTCCGTTCTGTGTCTGACGAATTCAGTTGTGACACCTGCTTTGATGTATTTGAACCTGTGCATATAAGGTCCCAATTATGTATTGCCTCCGTAGATTTTTATTGGGCATGCTTATTTGGAAAAAGTCTTCAAGGTCACACTTCGCCATGTATAAAACCAATACCTTAAGATACTAAAGACGAATCTATTAGTAATAATTTTTATACACAATGTATCTGAAATTTGGCTAACTGTTGGTCAATTTCTACAAGGTTTGACTTTTAAAAAAATCGAAATGCACTTTATAAAAATCTACAGAGGGAGTATCTAATACTAGCAAGAAACATTTACTGGTAAACAGATATGATGCAAACGCAAGGATATCTTTTCTTGCAAAGAATATTCTATGCTAATATGCATGCTGCAGAATTCAATAAGTTTTTCATTCTGATTATAATTTTCTGAAAGCTTGGTTGATATCTTATTGTTAAAAGGCAAATATAAATTTTTTTATGGTCTTTTTGAATACTTACCCTCAAAGCTGGTAATACAGGTGCATGAACACAAGGAGAGACAATCCAAAGGGTACACTTTGGAGAGTTTCTGCTGAATGCTTCAATCGTGTTTTGGTAGATGAAGTGACACATGACAGCGCTGATTGTAAAAGCGGCATGAGTTCATATAAATTTTCTAGAGCTCGTTTCTGGAAGGAGGTTGCAGATGTGTATGAAACCTTTCTTGTTGGATCTTGTGGACGTGTGCTGTCGTCAGATGTTCCTTCGGTTGACTCTGTTACTGCTGATGAGACTCTTGAGATGGCTGTACTCACTGTTTTTGGAGACAACGTTCTGAAATTGCAGAAGGATGCTCCTGTTGAGGTTAGTTCTCAAACCATACATACTCCTCCTTTATAACATTTGCTTACTTCTCTCCTGCATAAGAATTGCTAGTTGGTTGAGTTGTAATAATCGTTATTTTCCTAACCTTGTTAATGCTCAATTGTGTCCATCTATCTAGAGGCCAAATCTTTACTTTGATCACTTTTCAGGTATTACAAAGACTTGTGAACTGCCTTGATCACTGTGCATCACGAACAGGATCCTTGCCTCTTCAAACCGTTGGCCTTGTACCTTTGCACTGCAGCAGATTTTCACTGAGCTGCTTGCAGATGATGTTTTCTTTATGCTGGTACTACCACACTGCAGTTTCTCTGATTCGTTTTCTCCACAAGGTGTCAAACTTGGTTTGGGTGGAATTTTGGGCCAATTAACTGTTAAACTATGGGCAAATTTGTTTTTTACTCATATTTTGTTTGAATATTTATTGCAACTTTTTCAGCAAATAGTATTTAATACTTACCAAATCTGACAAAAATAGCCCCAAAAGACAAACGTGATAACCAGTGCTGCATTGCACCTGCTCCTCACTGTGAAAACCAGATCCGTCAGTGTTCAAAAGCATTTGCAGATTATCTTAAAAATAATTGGAAACATTGCCCATGTTTGAGAATTCACACATTACATGATAACATAGGATAGTCCATAGACCCACAAGACTAGCAACTCATCAGAACGTTAACCTCCGCTACACTCTGCATACATTTAGAACTGAATAGTATAGCTTGTTTCAATGATTGCAGTTGTACATCGGGGACAAGCTTATGTGCTACAGTATCAGAAACCAGCAAAGTATCGATCTCAGTTCTTACGAAGCGGTGTGAGATTATACTGGGTCAGTTTTTAGCTGATGAAAATGATCTAGGTAAATGGATAATGATATAATTTTGAACTTCCTTATATATAATATGTAAACCTGCTTCATTTTCTGGTTTCCTTTCAACATGGTAATTGATATTTCAAATATGCTGCAGGAGAAGGACCATTGCCTAGTGTAAGGATTGATGAGACAATTTGTGTTCTACAAGAACTCGCTAGACTAATAATAAACATGGAAACAGCTAATGCCCTCAGCATGCCATTATATCTAAAAGAAGCTTTAGAGAAGAATGAGTCCCATGGACGGGCTCATTTATTGGCTTTGCTACCAACCTTTTCTGAGCTTGTTGTCTCAAGGTAAGAAAAAGGTTTTGTATCCCCACAGTTCTTAAGTGCGCATGCAATTTTACAGTACAACTCTGTGTCATAGCCGACAGCTTTATGTGCTGGCAATGCATGTTTATGTTTGCTGAGTAAGCCATTTGTGTTTTTCTTTTCCATTCAACATTAGGATGGTGTTAACATGGAAGCCAAAAATTGGATTGTCCTTTTCAGTTTACACTTTGCATTGAAATTTGAACAAGACAAGAATAACCTATGGAAATGGCTTCAGGTTTATTCTGTCTGTTATAGTATACACGACACAGCAAAATATAAATATTAACAGATGGACATGCCCTGAAGCTCTATAGAGAAAAATAAGTATCGGTGTTAGGGATTTGACAATCTGGGTATAGTTCCCAACTTTTTTTTTTTTGCTGCACGGCTAAAGCAGTTGGTGGTGTTTTTTTTTTTCTTAAAAATTGGCTTCAGTTTATTATAGTACCAACTTTTTATTGCTAATGAAGTTATACTGAAGTTCTATATATCCCAATGCATCAGAGAAGCTAGGGTACGGGAGCTTGTACAGGTTCTGCTCAGACTCATTGCCTCGGAACTAGGACTGCAACGTCTAACGTAACGATGAGTGGTGTAATCCTCCCTTATATTATTTTTATTGCATAGAATTATAGAGTTTTGCTGGTAAATTTTCCCTTTTTGCTTCTACATTGCGACGGGCAATTTTGTGCTTACGAGAAAGGTTGTATATGTAACATTTTGTTGGGAAATATGGTGGTTCGTTTTAGTCAGCAGGTAGATAGCTTCTTTTTTGTTATATTTTGACGTAGATCACTCCTGTAAATTATGCCAATTCCTTGTACTCTGTATCTGAATTGAGTTTGTAATTTTAACACACATGGTGCGCATGAGGTGCAAGCATGCGGGCAGCTGGAAATTCGATGTATATTTTGTTCGTATGTGTCATCTACGTTCCCATAATCTCAAAAATACATTATTAGCTCCTTACTCTTGATTTGTCGTTCATTACTGGTCCCTACTTAAATCTGTCATTTGTGTGCTTAGACGCTCGGATTTTCCGTTGTTAAATCTGTCTCTAATCTCTACTAAATTGTTTTGACGTGATTCTTCTTCTCTTAACGATGACTACCTTGAGCACTGATCTTCCTCGTCCTTCAATCGTTTGAGCACTTCAACTGTAAATCAAAGAGGGTCTCTTGTGAGCTGAGCTGAGTTGGGTTCTTTTTTAAACACAGTATAAACGGAGACGATTATAAGGTGCTCGCACTTACCTCTATGTGAGAACCCGTGTCTAAGTCTAGAACTTGAACATATGTGTGTTGGATCTATCATAAGAAATTTAATCAAGAGTTACACTCACTTTGCTAAGTTAATTCATTTGAATTTGAGCTGAGCGAATATATCGTCTATTTGGAGCATATAGGGATCGATTTATGAGAAGGAAGAAATAAAGGGATTCGTTTTCTTATGCTAATGTATGATGAAACGAAAATTATTTTATATAATATGATAGAATGGTATGGGAATTATGTTTGGATAATTGGATCTATCGTCGTAAATGAAAATTTTAGAGTAAAAAGACCACCTAAACCGTACTCCTAGCTAGCTTCTTACGAATACGTCCAAATGATAATCAGCCTAACCGAGCTGACCCTTGACGATCCATCGCTATCCACTTAATGGATGATTGCGGCCACCTTCAGAAGTCCATCACTGCCTTCACGCCCTACTCCTTTTCCCCTCTGGAACCTCTCTGGTAGTCCTAAATTGAACCAATAGATAGGGTGCCCTATTGTAATTTACTAATTTGGTTTGGTTGGACAAACCGTTTGTGTGAATAAAGAAAGAAAAAGGAGTGCCCAGCTTTTACTATGTGACTGGAATTTTCGAGTACTTCAGTCATTTTTTTCCTCCTGAATGACAATCTAATACTCACTCCCTCCCATTTTAAATACAACCATAAGTTTACGTGCTTAACTTTAATCGTCCATCTAATTTAATTTTTTTTATAATTAGTATTTTTGTTGTTATGAGATGATAAAACATGAATAATACTTTGCTTGTGACTTACTCCTTCCGTTTCACATCTATATGAATGTGGGCAATGCTAGAAAGTCTTATAATGTGAAACAGAGGAAGTATGTTTTTATTTTTTTTCAAATAAGACAAATAATCAAAATTAGGCGCGGAAAACTATGGCTGCACTTATAATAGAGCAGAGGGAGTAGTTCTTATCACTCCCTTTATTACTTATTTAAACAAAGTCTCTCTTTTTTAAAATTGTTGATGTCGAGGGAAGTCCCTCGATAGCGGGAGGTCGTGAGACCCCCCCCCCCTTTCGTGAGTTCGACCGGAGGAAGGAGCTCGCCTCTTAGAGATCACGTATCCGCCCCTAGGGCTACTAGTTAGCTTGCACACAATCGAATTATACATGTTCGGGCCGCTGAGAAGCGTAATACCCTACTCCTGTGTTTGGGATTATGGTTGAGTGTTACAAGGGTTCCTCAACTCCGGAGAGCACTCTCGCTCTTCTTCTCCTAGAGTTCAAGCCTACTGAGAGTCGTCCCCTCTTTTGGTGGACAAGGTCCTCCTTTTATATCTCAAGGGGATACCACATGCACCGTCTCTACCTACTTTTCTTTCGGATGGGGACCCACCCTATCCTGACCGGGCTCGACCCGTGCCTTCGCCCGGAAGCTAAGCCATAGCTTGCCCTTGAGTGGGGCCAGCGCCGTCCCTCGCCTGACACGGGGGACAGCCCTGTCATTCCCCCATTAATGGGTGAAGACTTGTGGCGGCCGCCGTCCGAATGACCCTCCGATGGGACGGGTCATACCTACCTCCACTCCGCCGGAAGCAGACGCGACGTGGGAGCACGGTTGTCGGTCTAGTCAGACGTGACCGGTGTCAGGTCGGTCACAGACCGGTCATTCTTGACTATGGCGCGTCAGATTAGCACGCCGCACGTCTGCCTCACTGCATTAAATACGACAGGGGGCAGTTGGGGCGTTGCGCGCATTAATGGAAGCTCAGCCTGGGCCCCCTCCTCGCTCGCTCCTCCCGCCAAATGGCGGCTGGGCGAGGGCCTCGGGGCGAAGCGGTGCAAGGGCCCGAGGGGCATGACGTGGCACCACAAGGCCCCGACCCCCCCTCCCGGCCGCTCCAGCGGTTCGCGGGCTGCGGGGGCAGGACTAGGCTGTAGGGACACGCGGCAAGATAGGAAGGTAGATTCCCCACACTTCGCATACCCTCGGACCCATATCTCCGACAGTTGAATAATAATTATTTTCTAACACAAACATGAAATGAACATGCAATTCATGAAATTACATGATTCAAACTTAGATAAATTCAGCGCAAAACTATATATAATAACAAAACTACAGTTAATTGCATAGCATCGCATATTTGGGTTGGCAATGTGCAAATTTAGGTAACTAAAGAGTTACAAACTTTTAGTCGTATGAAATCTAGCAAAACCAAAGGAAAAAGGATCTATACATTCGTAGAACATGATGACTGCCAAACTGGTTCCTGATTGAAGGTGGGCATTTTCTGGGACCACCTATACAACGCGTGATAGAAAATCTCATCCCATAGCTTGTATTTTTTATTCTAAGATTCATGCATTCTCTAAACTTGAACTCTATTTCACCTCCTCATGTTCCCACGACTACGCCACCAGTCCCTATCAATTGATTGAGTTCGCTTCCTCCGCCCAATCCCCCGCGGTCAAGCCTCGCCAATGTCGAAAAGGAGCCAACCGTGCCGGGAAGGCCCGCATACCTTCCCCTCCCCCCTTCCTCCTCATCCCTTCTCAACTCTCCTCCTCCTCCTCCTCCTCCTCCTCCTCCTCCTGAAGCTAGTGGTGGCGCCCCCGTGCTACCTTCTTCCTTGTCTTCGGAGGCTCCCCGCCGCCGGAGGCGCCACGGTCTCCCTCGCTTGTTAACCAATCACTTTGCTTTGCCTCCATCGCCTGCTGTCGACCCCGCGGCTTCGGTGTCGTCGCCGCATCGTTCCCCGTCCGTTCTACTGCCCTTCACTGCATTGTCGCCTCCCATAACCATCCTTCTAAGGTGGCAAACTCCTCCTCCACCCTTCCACCTTGACCCCAACTTGAGACATAATTCGTCAGGTTGCTGCCATCTTGCCTGAGTTGGTGGAGAAGAAGTGTAGCGCGAAACGCAGCACGGATCTAAAGGTGGTGGATTTGATTGAAATCCACCCGAAATTTCTGCCTTTTTTCGGACGGTGTGAACCTTTTTGGTTCGAACGATGTAGCCTTTTTTCAACTATGCAATATTTCGTACAAATATGAGGATTGTATTTTTGGCAAAATAGCGTAACATGTGCCAAAACACACTAAAAAACAGAGAAAACCATAATCCGACAAAATGTACTCCATCTGGGTTGATAATACTTGTTATTTTGGACAAGAGCATGGTCTCCAAAAAAATAACTTTGATTATTATTTTCCATTATAATATGTGTAAAAGTGTTAACAAATATATGATTTTATTAAAGTACGTTTTAGAACTAATCTATACATGTAGTGACCATATTTGAAAGACAAATATTTTAAAAATGATTCATAATCAAAGATTCTAAAGTTTGACCTAACCCTTGTCTAAAACGACAAGTATTATCAGCAAAGGGAGTAGTATGCTTATGATGTAATGGCTTGTCTCGGTTCAATTATGCATTACAATTAGATTTGGTCTTTATATCAGAGTCAATAGGTGATATTTTGATACTCCTTTCATATTAGTCCGGCCAATCTAAGTTTGAGACATTTATCTCACGAGCTAATGGTCCAATCTGTACAAAACCACATGAATTTTGAGATATGGTACATAAACCAAAGTATTATGATCATAAAGTTTCACAAGACCACACTATTAATCATTTTAACTGTGATGTTGTCGGAGGGTGAACTCCACTAGCGGGGGACAGTGAGGCCCCCCTTTGTTGGTTCGGCCGGGGGCAGCGGGTGAGATTCGAGGACTCGGTGAGAAAGGCAGTCTAGAGGGGGTCGAACCCCCCGAGAACGATGAGACAAAAGGAGTTTATATAGGTTCGAGCCGCTGAAAAGCGTAATACCCTACTCCTGTGCTTAGCTGATTGTGTGAGAAATTACAATATCTCCTTATTGGAGTAGAAGGTGTTGATGATGATGGGCAGAGGACTGCTCTAAAAAAAAGGGCTCATCCTCTCCCTAGGTAGGCTTGGACCTCCTTTTATATCTTAAGGGGTTACCACATGGGTCTACCTAGCCTATCTATGGAGGATAATCTCATTAAATGCATGTCTCATTGCTTGCCTTGGAAGTCTCTTGCACGCCTTGCCATGGCGTGGGGCCCGTCAAATTTATCTGGCTGACACGGGGGACACGCATGTCATTCGATATTTAATGAGTGAAGACTTTTGGATCCTCACTTGCGTCGGGAAACGTAAACCCTATCCTAACCGGGTTAGGCAAACCGTCTTCGGCTGTGATGAGAGGCTAAGCAACCTCTCATCATCGTGACGTGACAGGGGATGTCAGATGGCACACCGCCTGACATGCAACCAGTGCGCAGGCGCACTACCTTGGCTACATCGGTCATTCGACCGGTCACAATCCGGCTAGGCGCACCACGTGCCGCATTTAATGCAGCGTGGAGCGCTCGGTCACACTGCCTTAAATGCGGTTAGGTGGGCGCTGCCCTACACACGCGGCACTATGTGAAGGGGGTCGGAGGAGCCCGACCCCCAGACTTGGAGGGGGCGGCCGTCGCCCTGCCTCGGGCCCGACCCCCCTCGAGGAGAGGGCCACGTGGCTACCGGGGGCAGCCTCCTCCCTATGGTTCTGATACCCCCGGAACCATATCACTAACAGATGTACCACTGTTTTATAAATTCTAAAATGAGTAAAGTCCATCACCGGTCCCTAAACTTGTACCGCTATGTCATCCCGGTCCCTAAACTCGCAAATCGACCGTTCAGGTCCTCAAACTTGTTCGACTGTGTCATCCCGGTCCCTAAACTTGCAGATCACTCGTTTAGGTCCTCCAACTTGTTCGGTTGTGTCACCCCGGTCTCTAAACTTGTTTAGTTGGATGATCTAAACGAGTGATCTGCAAGTTTAGGGACCGGTGATGGATTTTACTCTTCTAAAATCATTGCTTAAATTTATGAATTTGTTATCAATCACATAAATATTACATCTGTTTTTAAATTTTTTATCTATAAGTATATCAGAATGGTTAACGGTGTGGTTTTGTAAAACTTTAGGATGATAATACCTGAGATTATGCGTCGCGTGCTAAAATTAATGTGGTTTTGCGTAATTTGCATTATATATAATATGTAGTGTTTTATGAAAATTATTATTATTCTTTTGAAAAAAAGAATAGTGTTACACACACGCGTACTCCGTGCCTTCCCGTCGGAGGAATCCCCGGTATTCAACCGAGTCGCCCCCCATCTGAGGATTACCACCACCTCCACGGCTCCACCTCCGCGGCGGCGTAATCCATCCAACTCGCAATAGATATACAGTCCCCCCAATCGACGGAACCCTAATTCTCTCCCGCACGCGCGTCGGCGATCCGAGGGGAAGTAGGGTTTGGAGGAGGAGGAGGGGAGACCACCGGAGGTAGGCGAATCCCCCAAGGCCGGGCAAGATGGTGCTCGCGCAGCTCGGCGGGAGCATCTCCCGCGCGCTGGCGCAGATGAGCAACGCCACCGTGATCGACGAGAAGGTGCTCAGCGACTGCCTCAACGAGATCTCGCGCGCGCTCCTGCAGTCCGACGTCCAGTTCAAGATGGTCCGCGATATGCAGTCCAACATCAAGCGCATCGTCAACCTCGAGACGCTCGCCGCCGGGACCAACAAGCGGCGCATCATCCAGCAGGTGAGCCCCCCTGCCCCCTTCGCATCGGTGTAATTTGCGGGTAATTTGCAGCATCTTGTTGACTGATGGTTTGATGGTTAGGCCGTCTTCACGGAGCTCTGCAACATGTTGGATCCCGGGAAGCCTTCCTTCACTCCCAAGAAGGGGAAACCTTGCGTGGTCATGTTCGTTGGTTTGCAAGGTCAGTCTAGCTGCTGCTGAGTTATGCCCCAATTAATTACTTCTGCTGCTTTCTCTTTTATGATAATTTCGGTTTATTACATCTGTACAAGGTAAGAATGTAGAAAGTAGAATTGTCCTATCTATCACGACTTTTTATTAGACACTTTCTGAATCACCATGATCTTAGCTGAATTTGAGAACTTTGCCTCAGCGAATGATTCTGAAAGGGAACTTGATAAATTAGTTCAAACAGAAGGATGTGATAGTATTAACTATTAAGTGGTTTCTCTTCTGATTTTATTGCCAGGCAGAATAAATAAAAATGAATTGGTCACACAAGTATGGTTATCCTAACCATTCATGTGCATGGTCCAGTTAATGGCTAGTGTTAGCATGACTGTTGCAAGGATGCTGCAAGTTTTGTTTTTCTTATTTTAGTTTCATGTTCTTCTGTTTAGTCAAAAAGCAGAGCAGCTGAATAAATCATGCACGTATCGAGTAGTTTGTCCAACAGCTTTATTTATTGGAGTACTTTAGTTTTCCTTTTTAAGAACCGTGGGTTCCTATTGTGGTCTTGTAGTTAGGCTTATCATGTGTGACATGGTTTATCTGTTGGATCATCCCATTCAGAAGCAATGAATCATCTAAGTATTTTATATTATTAAGTAATCCTAAATTGGGTCTTGCACGAAGACATTCATCTAGTTTTTTTCCTTATCTGGGCTTGTGTATGATGCATCATGAACAGATATACTCTATCACTTTTTTACTCTTTTTTTTTTGCAATTGGACACTATAACCAGAATTTTTTATGGCTTCCCGATGGATGGATCTGTTGCAAATATGTGCAAAATTGCAAGTTTTGTCATTCTTGTCAAACTACCTGGCTTAGCAATGAACCCTGTTGTTTGCTTTAGCCACAAAGACCAATGTTCTGTTCTGTTTGGCTTTTATCTTCTGCTTTTTAGATTCATTAATAGAATTGCAATATTCCATTCCCATGACAAGCACCGTGTCCATGCAGGTTCTGGTAAAACTACTACTTGTACCAAATATGCATATTATCATCAGCGCAAGGGATTTAAGCCAGCACTTGTTTGTGCTGATACATTTAGGGCTGGTGCTTTTGATCAGTTAAAACAGAATGCAACAAAGGCCAAGATTCCTTTTTACGGAAGGTGCTATATTTTGTCTACCTTTAACTTTTGTTTAACCTTATGTATTCTTTTTTCCCCCCTAATGGGTGTCTTGTTGCAGCTACATGGAGTCTGATCCAGTGAAAATTGCTGTTGAGGGTGTGGAGAGGTTCAAGAAAGAAAACTGTGATCTCATCATTGTAGATACGAGTGGAAGGCACAAACAAGAAGCAGCCCTTTTTGAAGAAATGCGCCAAGTTTCAGAAGCGACGGTAATATAGTCAAAATTTTGAAGTACTTCGAGAAACACCCTGATTATAGTGAAAAACTAAAACACATTTTTGTGCTTCTCTGCAGAAACCAGATCTGGTAATATTTGTGATGGACAGTAGTATCGGTCAGGCTGCATTTGATCAGGCACAAGCATTTAAGCAAAGTGTTTCTGTTGGTGCTGTGATTGTCACTAAAATGGATGGCCATGCGAAAGGAGGTGGCGCACTTAGCGCGTTAGTATTCTCTTCTTTCCCTTGCGATAGCATATTTGTTCTATTCTCTTTCCCACTTCATGAGTACTGTTTCCATATAATCTGAAAGAGATCTTGTGTGAACTTTGGGTCATATTTAAAACAAGAACTCTTATAGAGCCCTGTTTTATTCTAGATAACCATATAGTGTCAAGTCAACCATGAAGTTTAGTTCAGTTAATGCAAATTTTATTTTAAGTACCTGAGCTTGGTGAAATCATGATATTGTGGCATTTAGATGTGGTATCCGCAAAACAGTTTCATCATATTGTATGTGCTTCAGGATAGCATACTTTAAAAGTTCAAAGTGCAGAGATCCTGTGTGCACGACACTTTCTCTGTTCATGTAGTCATTTCCTTTTGTGAAAAATGCCTTATTTAGGGTTGATACTGTGAATGAATACCTATTAACATTTCAGAATCTGTTAATGACTTATCATATCTGACACCCTTGTTTCTTTACAGGGTTGCAGCAACAAAAAGTCCAGTGATATTTATTGGAACAGGAGAACACATCGATGAGTTTGAAGTTTTTGATGTGAAACCATTTGTCAGTCGTCTTTTAGGTCAGTGAAAATACTACGTGTCCCATGTTGCTGAGTGTTTCTTATGGTTAACCTTTGTAGTGTAATTGACAGGCATGGGAGACTGGTCGGGGTTTATGGACAAGATTCATGAAGTAGTACCCACTGATCAACAACCTGAGCTTTTGCAGAAGCTGTCTGAAGGAACCTTCACTCTGAGACTTATGTATGAGCAGTTCCAGAACATCTTGAAAATGGGTCCTATTGGCCAGGTTAGCAACATCTTTTACTTGCGGTGAAATGAAACGTACAGCTCATGATGTCTGTTTACTTGTTTAATTGACATGCCCAGGGTTCATTTCTTTTAAGATTATCACAGCACGCTTTTAAATCTGGATTGGTGTGTTTGCAGGTTTTCTCAATGTTGCCTGGATTTAGTTCTGAATTGATGCCAAAGGGACATGAGAAGGAAAGCCAAGCTAAGATTAAACGGTACATGACGATGATGGATTCCATGACAGATGGAGGTGAGTGTGTGGTTGATGATTTCCCCCTGTATACTTATTTATTATGCTGATGTCAAAATTTTATCTCAGAGCTTGACAGCACAAATCCTAAATTGATGACTGAATCGCGTATTCTTCGGATTGCTCGGGGATCTGGCCGACCTGTCAGAGATGTTGTCGACATGCTCGAAGAGTACAAGCGGCTTGCTAAAATCTGGAGCAAGATGAAAGGGCTCAAGATACCAAAGAAAGGAGAAATGAGTGCACTGTCCCGCAACATGAACGTTCAGCACATGAGCAAAGTTCTCCCGCCGCAGATGCTGAAGCAGATAGGCGGCATGGGTGGCCTGCAATCTTTGATGAAACAAATGGGCTCAAAAGAAATGGGTGGCATGTTTGGAGGCATGGGTGGTGATAAGTAAACAGATCCTGATTGCATTTGACAAATCGTCAGAGATATGGCTGTAGACAGATTGTTCACCAGGGTGCTAAATGAGAGTTTTGAAGATGATACTGACTGCTGCAATTATGTTACCAGATGAGGATACACATGCACCCCGATGTAAAATTTGTTTATCATAGGCAAATCGTAGCTCCCCAAAGTTCTTACCGAGATTTTATTTATAGAATCTGTTTGGGAAGAATTACCGAATCCGCGTTTTGTTTTGTTTCCTGCGTGCTACTCAGACGTGTAAGCACCCTAAATAAAATCAACGAAGTTTTGGGCCTCTTTTTAGCTGATTCAATGATTCGTGATTCAAGTCCAAGCCAATAGGATCAGTAGCCATAGACAAGCCCATTAGAGATGAAACATTGAGGCGGATCAATTTATTTTTCGTTACAAGATGTGAAAGATTGTGTTCCTCCTGGACCGAGAAGGCGAGAAGGTGTTGAAAATCGAATAAACTGCACGAACCGAACCATTTTATTTCCATTTTCCATTGATTGGAAGCATGGATACACACACAAAACTGCGCGCTCAACCAGACAACCACGAGACTCGATGATCGACGACAAGGCAGGAACAACTAGAGCACGGCCACTGCAGGGAAATCGTCGCGATCGCCGTCACCACCCACGGCGTCATCCGATTCACGCAGCGCCCACGAGATGGCCCTCACCGTGGCCGGGCTCGTCCTGCAGCAACCCCCGACGAGGGCGGCGCCCGCCTGCCTCCACTTGCCGACGCACGACACGAAGTCCGTCTCCGACGCGCCGCCCTCCGACTCCTGCACCATTGCATTTGCATCACGTAACGCGTGTATCGTACGACCAATCGATCGAAAGAACACGTACAGTACAAACCAAAACAAGAAGTACAAAATCAACGGTGTGCACTGACCACCCATTCTTTGGTCTCGGCCACGTAGGTCTCCCCGCTGTTGGGGTACACGACGACCGGCTTGCTCGTCACCTTCCTGATGGAGAGGATCAGGCCGTGCACCAGCCTGGGGGCGGTGCAGTTCACCCCGACGGCGCCGACCCTCGCGCAGGCGTCGGCCACGGCGGCGCACTCCGTGATGGGGTCGCCGCTCGCCTGCGCCTCCAGCTTGTTCGGGATCGTCTCGAACGCGATGAGATCGGGCCCCGCGTCGGCGAGCACCTGCAGCCTCCTCCGGTGGAAGCTCTTGAGCGTCTCCTTGGTCACCGATATGCCGTAGTCGCCGCTGCACACAGCACACGTAATCGAACTAAACAACTATATGTATATAGCCAGGGATCAACGACTGATCGATCGGGGCGTGCGTACGTGTACTCGGAGCCGTCGGCGAGATAGGCGCCGTAGCTGCCGATGGAGGCGGCCACGAGCACGGGCCGGCGCGGCGAGGAGCGGTGGTTGGCGTACGGGCCCTTGGACCAGCCCTCGGCGAAGATGGCGCGCGCCTCCTGCGCGATGTGGACGCTCCGACGAAGCAGCGCCTCGCTCCGCTCACGCGACAGGCCTCTCGCCTGGAACCCCTGTATCGTCGCCTGCATGCGAAAATGAGACCGTATATACGACACCGAGATTATAGCCGACGTTAGACGCCATATACTATTACTATATCAACAGCTTGTCAAACACCTGGTAAGACGCCGAGGTTATGATGTTGGCGCCGGCGTCGAGGTAGTCCAAATGCACCTGCAGCGCTTAATTGCACGAAGCCGTCAGAACAACTCGGAGTTATGTTATGGAGAAAGTGAAGGACCACGCATCGTGTGTTGGGTGACCTTGCGGATGAGGTGAGGGGCGGAGACGAGGCAGCTGGCGCTCCAGAGCTCGTCATGCAGGTCCGCGCCGTGCGCCTCCAGCTCCGTGGCCAGCCCGCCGTCCACCACCGCGCACCCTCCCGCTTCCCGCACGAACCGCCGCAGCGCGCCCGCCGCGCCGTCCACGTCGCCCCCGCGACCCATTTCGCGGTTCCTCGATCACAACAGCAATCGCACCGCACGTACGTGGACCAGTCGGCCTACATACACCGTCACGGCGTCACCGATCGATCGACCGCCAAACCGACTGACGGAGCAGAGAGGGGGGATAATTAATGGAGGGATCTCTGGGCGCGTTCTTGTTCATATATACACAACACTAGCAAAATGCCCAACCTTTATTATGGGCAGAAGAAAAAGAAATCATCATATGTTGCACTCGCTCGACTCCACCAGTAGCGGCCCTACACCTCGATCGCCCGCGCCTTGGTAATCCCGACGCCGCCGGAAACGCGCGGCGGGCATGCGTGAAGCGTGAAGCGTGATGCGTGGTGGCACCGCAGCACGGCACGTACGCGGGCACGGCAGCAGCACGCGACGTCGTCGCGACCCCCGTAGCCCGTAGCGTCAGGTGCTCGAAGTTGAACGGGAGTAGACTCGGGGGCTGTATGGGAGAGAGGGACTGGCTTAAAAAAAAAAATCCCAGTCCCTCTCTCCCAAACACCCTATCAGTAGAGAGGCACCAGCTTCCAGAGCACGCGTGACGCGCCGCATCAACGAGGCGCGAGGGCCTCCGACCCTCCGTGATAGGCCAAACAAAAACTTTCTTATAAAAAAAAAGCAACCTAAGGCCTGTTCGTTTAATAAAAAAAATGAAAAGATTTGAGGAAGAATAATTTTATATCATAATACATGTGGAATATATCCTCTCTAAATTTCTCCTAATCATTTTATCGAAGGAATTAATCGAACAAGGTCTAAAAGGTTCCAATATTAAACTAGCCCTTCAACCTTGATTATTTTTTCTTTTTAAGGTATAGGGGACATGATCATTCGTTGTTATCTGAACCCGCTTTCCACAAGATGACAAGATACATTCAGACTTAAGCGGAGAGCTTGCACGATATTATAGTATTTGATTCAGAGAAACATTTTAAGCAAAATCATCATCACGGTTTCAATTTCGTAAAATTTTAATCACATCTATGAATACACGAATTATAATGATATTTATCTAAATAACTATGGATCAAACTAACCCATTTTTCCCCCTCCGGGTTGAATCGCTTTGAGGCAAGGAACAGGTAATAGCTAGAAAAGCGGAGAGGACGGGTCGATACGTTTAGCGTTGTGGCACAGTTAGTACGTGCTGGCTCGCGGTTCGAAACAAAAATGCAGGAGCTCGATTCTAATCAGAGCAAGTATAATAGTGAACTATAAGCCTACTGTAAACTTACGTGGAGGAGAGGTAACAAAAAAATCAAAAGGTTGGCTCTTATACAAGAGCTAACTTAGCACAATATCCAAGATAAATACATTAAATGTGTAAGTGATAGATAGAGAGAGGAGAAGAAAATTGTAGCCAATCTTATAGCTAATCTATTATATATATTGGTTTTAAGATGAGCTAATAGTAGGAAATGAACTATACTATTATCCTTGCTCTCTGGTATTGGAATCCCGGTGATAACCGCTCTAGAGCAATCAGCCTGTATAAGGTGTAACGAGCATGAATAGTTCAAATCTAAATTTAAAGCCGCAGCTGTATATTTTCTGTAAAATCATGATTTGTACTTGAGAAGAGAGAAAAAATAGGGGAAAGTGGCAATATTCAATGGACAAGAGAGAAAATCGAACAAAATGAACAACCCGCTCATCACCACACCTCTAGGCCGCTTCGTTCTCTCCGTTCTAGAGTTAGAGTTAGATACAACAGATATCTTGCCTACATAAATTTCGAAAAAAAAAAGAACATAAAAGGTTAGATTAGATTTAGGTTGTGTTTGATTTCTAGTTATACTTTATCATCATTTGCCAACAAATATTGCACATAAGTTGAGACGAACGAATTCTTGGTCACATCTTAGCAAGCTTAAGGCTGTGTTAGGGAGGCACCTGACACGGAAAACAAAGCACGCGATTATAGTTTAGATTAATTAAGTATTAGCTAAAAAACTTGAAATGGATTAATATGGTTTTTTTAAAGCAACTTTCATATAAAAAACTTTTGTAAAAAATGCACTGTTTAGCAGTTTGAAAAACGTGCGTGCGGAAAACGAGAGAAGTGAGTTGGAAAATGGGAGAAAAAAACGCAGCCTAAGGAAATCTTATTACACTTTTTTTAATCAATGGTGTGTGGAACCTAGTTTATTAGAAGAGAATCTTGTTAAAATTGTGGCTACAGCTAAACAGCTGCCAGTATAATTGAAGTTGACAAACCTTATGCATGTCAAACTGCGATAAAGCGGAGTAGTTGATAACCAAACATTAGTACATATCACTAGTTCACTACAGGCAATTCCCAGTACGTGACTGTAGTAATATGCACGAGCGGTTACATGGACAAATCGGTAATATGTAATTCTGGTGTTACACACCAGATGAGCTAAGCATGTTTACGAGTCACGACGCTTCAGTGGCCTTTCCTTCTCTCTCTTTCTTTTTTGAAGGATCAGACTTAGATTTTTCTCCCATTGCAGTACAAGAGTGACATTGCAAGCACAAAGAAACAGCGGATTACTAACTCCCCCCAAAAAATAGCATTACGATTAAGGACTAGACAAAAACTAATCAGTAAAATGAGAGAATATTTACTCACGTAACATAACATGCATGCTAAACATCCATGTCCTTTAGATCAGAGATTAGTTTCATAAATAATGCAAATGGCCGAAGGTTCAGATGTTTAATGTTTTCTGATGAGCAACCTGTGTGCAGCCAAAAAGATAAAAATATATTAACGACACAGAAAACAGATGAAATTTGCTCATAACTAAGTTTTAGTTTGGAAAAATCAAAGAAATGATCAGAGAATTGGAGAAATACCGAAGTTGAAGTCTTCATCAACTCCCTAATAGCCATTGTAGCATAAGATGATGCTGGTAGAGTAAATGCTAATTTTATGGCCAGTTTCTCCAACATATCCGAGCTGCCAATAGATTTGGCTTCTGCTACTACTAGGCTAGCTCCATTTATTGATTCAGAGGCATCCAATGAAGCTTCCAGCCCAGAATCATGTGATGTACAGCTGGAAATCCCATCTGATAGTAGTTCATTTACTTCTAATGGCTTCGTTTTAGACAAAACATCTAAATCCGTTTCTACTAAAGGTATTTTCTCATCTGTATAAGTGATGAGATCCCTACATAAAACAACAAATTAAATGAATATCAGCAGATATCCAACAACCGTACACAGAGGTGCATGGAATTTATTTGTCTAAAATTTACTTTACTGTACAACAAATAAATTGGAACCTAAAAAGGTGAACAGCATGGCATGAAACACTTGGTTGCACTTACCATTCAAAATCAATAGGTCGCTGGATCACCCGACGATAACCTCCTTTCATCCTTGTAATAGAGAAGTCCCTTAGAAACACAATAGTCAGTAACTTGGTATGCATGATTTCAAATTAAAAGAAGCTATCAGTATATAAGTCTTAAGACCCTATGTATGATCCATGATTCACAAGAACTTGTCTAGAGGTGTACAAACATAACAGTGTGCGATGGAGGAAAAAAAAGAGAAGTTATAAGACTAGTGAATAAGGCCCAAGACATGTTTGCATGGGCAAATGCTGTATTTAAATCTTCGTTTTTCTTGGGATGCACGTGAATTAGCTGCTATATACAAGAACCATGCATGACTTTAAAGTACGCTCCGGAAAGCAACATACATATAAGCAGAGTAGCAGATTAACTTACTCGACACCATGGACACTCTCTCTTAGATTAATGCCATCCTGAGTAGTGAAAACAGATCGGACATTAACATCATTACTCATTACAGAAGAAGCCATTGCATGATTCAATAAAATATCCCTTCATTTTTCATGCCACAGTAAACCTGAGTTAACCATAGAATTCATGTTAAAATATATTTACCTTCATAGCTATTTCATGATAAATTCCAGCAACTTCGTTCCCAGGAAACAATGTTTCTGAACTGCAAATGCAAAATGGTAAGCATAACACTTGAATTAGACAAGCATAAAACATAAAATAAGCGCTCATCACCCAGGCAAAGGGAGGACTACATCCTCAAATGTGTACAGGGACTTTGATAAATCTTCAGAATCCGCTATCTACAAGACAAATGAACGATAGTAATTCCATAAAAAGCAGTAGTGCAGACGTCTCACAGTTTTTATATGTAAGTATGCTTTAAGCCTTTAAGTTAATTTTCTATAGCAAACCTTGACAGACTGGATCATTTCTTCTGGAAGCGTTTCACAACATGCGTTCATTTCAGATGACATAGTTTGACCGTCATCTTCTGAAGTAGCCTTTAAAGCTCCTTGTTCAAAAGGGGCTTCCTTTTTGTAAACCAAGTCACCTTCTACAACTCGTGAAATACCTGCGACGTTTACCATTGGAACACAGAGGCAAAAGAAGAGCAAATACTAGTCCTTTAAAAGCCAAAACTTAGTTCCAAACAAGTATAGCATAACAAAATGCATATAATTGATCAACGGAATGCACTAGCAGCAAGTTTTAGTGCAAAAATGCACAAAGCTCATAAATAGATGGTTCATTTCTCTTAAAACAGAACATTTCAAGAAACACGTTCAGTCATTGCAAAACTACATGTGTAAGATAATGAATTAAAAGAGATGATACGCCAAAATTATGCAAGATGGTATAACAAGTGCAAAATTTGAAGACAACAAGTAGTGGTCAAAAAGTGGATACCAATCAAATATTTAGTCCAATCAACTTTCCGAACAGAGCTAGTGACAGTATGAACATAAAATTTACCCTCATAGAGTTCAAAACCAAGGCAGGGGAGACCCAGAAGGCTTGAAAACCAAGACCAACCTGGTCTGGCTACCATGGACCCAAGGCTGCCCTTGACAAATTGGTTAACTAGTAGTCACATGACCAACCAGAAGTCATGTCTCTCTGTCCCACAAGTTTAGTCAATGCTAATGTGTAGCGATGTATAGTACCGGATAAATGCATTAATTGGAAGAAACCCCATACGGATGCAATGATTAGAGTCTAAGGAATATACTGCGCTGTCTTATCTGATGAGCATATCCATTGCAGGTACCATCGATAAAGCAAATAATAAAAAATTATTTAGAAAAGAACAATCACTCCTAGTCTGAAACTGCCATCCCTAATTCCCTATTGAGCAAAAGGTATACTGACCATACTTTTGAACTCTCATACTTGCAGCATGGTTCCATAAGTAACTCTGGTAACTATGCACATACCTGAATAGAATAATCAGAACAACTTAATATGTAGAATTGTATAGCCTAAATTTGTCGTAAATAAGGAAAATTACATTAATTTCAGGTGTTGGAATCTCTAGACAAAATTTCAGATATTGAACATAACATACATCAGTCTCAGTGTTCTAGGTATAGCCATTAGTGCTTGTAGATAGTTGCCAGGGTACTTCTTCAAGCGCTGAAGCTAAAAATAAAACAAAACATAAGTTTAAGGGTTATGCATCAATGTACTTTAAATCTGATTGACAATAAGAAATGTTAAATGAGATGATAAAAGGGAGGATAGCTACCTTCATGATAAATTAGTTAATATATTTGGAGCGAGAAAAGTGAAAGCTCAAAATCAACATACAAATTCATTACTGTAGCGATGCCTTCTTTATAATATCTTTCAGCATAAGCTGGTAACTTTTTTCTATTATGTAGGTAATTATCATGCATCATCTACTAAAATTCACATTCTGGAGCATATAATAAATATGATTAAACTGTGATGCCACATAACTTGTATGTTCCTCAAAACATCATAAGTACATCTTGTATCTAATGTATAACACATCCAGACTCCAAGAGCACTGGCACCAATCAGATCCTCCCAGGCACCTCAACTCGATTTCTGGTTTCACCAAAAACTTGATGGAAGATTGGAAAGGTGTGGCACAGATATCTAGTAAATACGCTAGGGGGGGAAATGGCAGTGACAATGTTAAAAAATTACATCGACAGCAAAAAGTAAAAGAAAAAAATATACTTACGATAGCCCTCTCTGTTATGAGATATCGAGGGAAGTTCCTAAGTGCCGTGCCAATGTCACCATATTCCTTAAAATGCTCCCTCACTTTATTTATGTTATCACATTGTTTTCCGCAAAGTTAAGTCGAACAAATTCACACATTTAAACATATATTATCTGGTAAACATATTAGAAAAAGAAAACAAGGATATCTCCTTCCCTTGGACCAAGAATCAATTGAACAGCATTTCTCCACTCTCCTCTAAGCAAAGCAACACCAACTTGGTGATTCGGCACTGAACCACTACCAAAGCGCTAAGCACACAAACGAAGATTTTTTTACTAGCCATAACACAACAAAAAATAGTTTGAACCACAGGAAAGTGAACAGGGCAATGTTGACCTTTTCACACCACACTTGGTTTGCATTTGCTGAGATAACACTGTATGTTCCAAAAGAGCAGGGGCTTTTGACACCCTCTTTTTTCTTTTAGAGCAATAGTTGCAACAGGTTCGGTGCGTTCCAGCAAATGACCACGATTTCATATAGCCTATCAGCATGGTATTTATTTATTGTGTCTCAGCAAATGCAAAACAAGTGCAGTATCCAGGAGCCTGCTTTAGAAAAGAGAGAAGAGTTGAATTATTGTACTTGTAGACCATAATAATTGATAAATCCATTTGTTATTAATCCATCAAGAGCAGCCTTAATCACATCTTCAGACTCTGTAACAACACTCCTGGCAGATAATAAAAATGGAAAAAGTATGAATTATCAATTTCCTCTGTAGTTGAAGAATAAAGAAAGAAGAACAAAAGCATGCCAGGTCATTCCTATAATTTGTATAATCGTCAAATAGTAGAAACATTGCATTATGTCAGAGGCGGAGCTAGGATTTTGCCATGACCCAGCCATAATAGAAGGGTTAGTACTTAGTACTAAGTAAGGCTGCGGCGCTATCACTACATGGGCTATGAACTGGCAAAATTCCCATTCTCTGGGTTTGATTCCACCCTTGCGTCTGTGTGTCACAGCCCTTTTTCAGCATACATTTTTCAGAATGCAAAAAAGTTCACCAAAAATATTTCTGCTATACTACCATTATAATAGAATGCCACCAGTAACAGGGAGAACATGCACCTCAAGGTAATTGTAAATCGGTTCCCCATCAGTTGACCAAGAGCAAGACCTTCCTTCACATAACTAGAACAGGTTAAATAAATTACTGAGGCAGTCAATTGCTTTTAGTCAATGACATTACATTGATGCTGAAAGAGGGATGCACTTTCTTACCTGAAGTCTCCAACTTTAATGCCAATGAGCTTACTGTTAAGAGCAACCAACCTACTAGCTTGCACCTTGAAAACCGTGACCTGATCAGAAGTTAGAGAACCAGAAAAATCATGACTGCAAGAAATGTTGAAAACATAGCCCTTTCTGTTTATTTTCAAACCATAGCACCCATTCTTCCTTGAGATGACAACAGCCAATACCAACAACCTCTCTTAATTTCTTTCCATATAAATCATTACCTCATGTTCTTTATATAACAAGTTTGTTATTTTAAATATCACCCAGATTGCCCATCAAACCCATGAAAAGAAAGTCAGAAAGTCATTATATGCATGAGCTTCACAGCATAAATTACTACACAAGGATACCTGTTGAGTTGTAACAGCGCGTTTATCCTTTGTTCCTGCAAACCCGAATGATCGAGGCTGTGGGAAGTTTAGTCACCAATCAATTAGCAAACAGCTGAATGAATTTATAAACTAAAAACAGGACACCCTGCAAATACTTCAATGAAACAGCAAACAACATGCACCTGAAGCCCTAGCATCTTGCCTATCTTTCCTAGTGCCTCTTGGGTGTCCTTGTTCTCCTTGTAAAGATGAAACCTGGTATGTGAATTACATACTGTAAGTCAACGGTGCAGTGCTTTGCATTCTTACACGAACAGAATAAAGATGATCGGGCACAATAGTAGTTAGGCATGAAACTGAACAGATGACATAACCTTATGAACTTCCCTAGATGGTCAGGCCAGATTATAGATCCTCTACTATCAAATGGCTTGTCATCTCTCCAGCCCGAACTTCCCGTGCCTTTCCTATTCCTCCCCCTCCCATCAACATCCCTCCGTTCGCGTCGCCCCGGCTTCAACCTCACCCTGATGCACCTCTGGATTCCATCGCTGTGCTCAACTGTATCTGTAAGCAAGGCCTCGAAGTTCCTCTTGAAGAAATCATGAACTTCCTAACAAAAAGTAGGACCAATGACTACAAGCTTCCAGCTTCTCATTCATTACAAAACAACAACAGTTAGAGAAGATAGCACACCGAGCGATGAGTCTTGTCGGCATCAGCAGAGAGAATGATCGGTGAGACATCGCTGTCGCCTCCCTCTGAAACCCTCTCCAGAAACCCCCTCAATGCCTCACAGTCCGCGTCGCCGCAGAGCAGCCGGAACGATTCCAGCGCCTGTGCTTCGTCCATGCCGCCTTCCTTCGCATCTACACACTGCAAATCCACAAACAGCGCTAGGCTAAATTAACCGGTGTCACGAGCTTCACAGCTCCCAAATCCAGAGCAGGAGAGCTGTAATGGCAAAGCAGAGCAGAAACAGGAGCCCGAGAGGAGGGACCTCGCCGTCGGGGAGGTCGAAGGAGGTGAGGCGGACGAGGGAGCCGTCGAGGGCGACCTCGTGGACGACGAAGTCGGAGTAGCGCTGCTTGAGGGCGCCGCGGAAGCCCGGGAGGGCGGAGGCGAAGAGGGAGATGCCGACGTCGGGCTCGGACAGTGGGGCGCGGCGCGCGGCGGGCGGCGGGGCTACGGTGCGGTGGCTGGCGACGCGGCGGGGAGCGAGGCGAGAGGAGGGGGGTTTTGGGTAGGCGAGAGGGGATAAGAGAGGGCTTAGGAGATGGCGGCCTCGCATTCGGGCGGCGCACGGTGAGACAATGGCCGACGGCCGCCGGGTGGATGGTAGGGGCCCGGACGCGCGGCGGCGACGGTGGCGGTGGCGGCGGCGGCGTCGTTCGCCGGGGAGGGGAAGGCGCCGGTGGCGGCAAAATCTTCTCCGGCGCGCGCCGTTCGACGGTGGTGTGTGAAGGTGCGTGCGTGAGGACGGTGGCTCGGAGGCGGAGGTGGGTCGGTTTGAGATTGACGGCCTCGATTGAATTCACCGGCAGCCTCTGCCTCCTGGGCCTGGATAGGCTAAACTACTGGGCCGCAATATCACTTTACTTTAGATTAACGTCCCGTTCGTTTCTTATGAAACACAAGTGGGAAAAAATTTAGGTAGTCGTGGCACGCTTTTTAAAATGCTAAACGATATGTTTCATGGAAAAATTTTCTATATAAAAGTTATTCTAAAATATCAGATTAATTTATTTTTTAAGTTTGTAATAATTAAAACCCAATTAGTCACACGTTATTATTACCTCGTTTTACGTAAATCACTTAATCTTAATCTTCATCTTCATTTTTATCTTTATCTCTTGTAGATTCCAATACCACCTAAAGAACGATGCCACGGTTGCACTATTGCAATGTTTGGACAGGTCAATAGGTGATACTCCGTAGATACTTCAACCATGCTACATATATTGGAAACAACTCGTAAGACACAAAATGGACAAATAAGTCATTTAGGAAAACATGTACTAGGAAAGTTTGTTTGCAAACAATATAGAAAATCGTGCATGAACTGATGTGATTTTTCCATGAATTTGCATATGCGACAGTTAAATCACATATGCAAATAGAGTACTTTCCTAACAACTTTACAAAATAAGGGCGGATATAGAATATATATACCTTTAAAAAAAAGCCAATTTGTCAACAGATGACTGCATAGAGCCAAAAAAGGACAAAACATATTTCATGCCACCATCAACATGAAAGATCGAATATGAAAATGATATAGATGTCACATAGGACGGATGGTGAACAAAAGTTCATAGTTGTTGAAGTGGACTATTCATACAACAAATAAATTTTGTTTATAGGTTTATTTTTTAAAATGTACCATAGGCCCTTCCAAATGATATTCATGTAATGGAACTGTGCGAAACTCGTTGCAAAATAAAAATTTTTTGTTTGCATTTATATTATATTGTATTATTGTAAAGTAATTAACAACGCAATGTCTTCATTTTAGACAAATTTTACTACATGACATCATTACTTTGTGAAATTAGCTATATAACATCATAGAAGTCAGATTTCGAGGTAGACACTCTTAAAAGTTTGATATTTATAGTGCTATATATTTTCACCGATATTAACTTTATTCAATTTTACCCATTTAATTTTAGTTTATTTTTCCAAAATCAACGAAAGAGTATAAAACTGACACCGCTACAAAGATAGAAAAATGCTCGAGAGATAATGGTTTTATTTTTTTTCACCAATGCCAACTTTATTCAGTTTTTACTTTTTGTTTCCTGCAAAAATCACATTTTTTTCCATTTCGATACACTTACTCAATTAAAATGAAAGAAAACAAAAGCGCCTAACAACGCCGAGGAAGTCAAACCCAAATGCTGATACACGGCCAAAAAAAACCGGTGGGGAGCTCCCAAGCAGAGACAATCAAGTGCGACACGGCCGAAACGACACCCATCATCAGCCTCGCCCCCTGACTTGGCCCTGTTTAGATGGGACTAAAACTTTTAAGTCCCTATCACATCGGATGTTTGAAAATTAATTATAAATATTAAACGTAGACTATTAATAAAACCCATCCATAATCTTGGACTAATTTGCGAGACGAATCTAATGAGCCTAATTAATCCATGATTAGCCTATGTGATGCTACAGTAAACATTCTCTAATTATAGATTAATTAGGCTTAAAAAATTTGTCTCGTGAATTAGCTTTTATTTATGTAATTAGTTTTGTAAGTAGTCTATATTTAATACTCTAAATTAGTGTCTAAAGACACGGACTAAAGTTAAGTCTCTGGATCTAAACACCACCAATCGCGAGTCGCCCACCCCACCCCGTCTCCCCCCTCCCCGAATGCTCCTCCACCAAACCACCACCTCCTCCACCGACGGCACGGCAGGCGACCCAGCAACAACAACGACACCACCGCATTCCCCCAGCGAAAAGACCACACCACCCCTCCTCCCCAGCCCGCGCCCAGGAAGAACCTCGGGGGTAGATTCGTCATTGCACGAAAACCCCACAATCCAAACCCACAGCGCCAAGTCCCCCAACCGGTTAGTCGCGCTCGCACCCGCTCCCCCGAACTCATCCATCCTCTTCCTCCTTCCGCCCGAAGTCTCCACGCTCCCGTGTCCCATTTAAAACCTTCTTCTTCTTCTTCGCTTCCTTCGTCTCGACTCCAGTTGGGGAGGCATTCTTTTCTTTTTCTTTTTTTTTCACTCTCGCGTCCAATCCCTGAATCCGCTGGCCCGCGTCGAAACCTAGGGGCGCGGTGGCGGTATAGCCGACGTTCAGATCCAAATGGGGGCGGCGCCGTCGACGCCGAGGCTGGGCGCGGTGGCGGGGGCCGCGGCGTCGCCTGGGGCGGCGGAGCAGATGTTCGCGGCGCTGGTCGGCGGGAAGGCGTACCCGATCTCCTCCGAGTTCTGGAGGCAGCTGCTCGAGCTGCCCCTCACGCAGCAGTGGCCGCGGGACCGCGTCCTGCAGGCGTGTCACGCGTTCGGTGAGTTGTTGCCCCCCTCCGCCCCGGCTCGAGATCCGCGCTGCCCTAAGCGGTTGCTCTGATCGCGCGTCGGTTTCTTCTTCTCTTTCTTTTTTTTCTTTTCTTTTTTTTTGGCTCTTGGTTAGTGGCGGTTTTTTTTTTTGCCCCCTCTCTGCGGGCTTTGATCCGAGGGGCAATGTGAATCACGTGGTTTCTGTGCGCGCGCGGGTGTGGGTTTAAGACTTTAATGCGGTGCTTCGAGGCGATATGGCTAGATTCACATGGTTTTCACGGCATTTTTCCTGTGTTGGTGTAGTCGGGAGGATTTGGATAATTGATTTATGTGGATTGCGAGCTGCATTTGTGGTTGCTCACCTGTGATATATGACTTTGCTGACATGGCTGTAGTCAACAATATGAACTGTCGTGTTAGTAAAATTCTTTTTTAAGTTCAGCTTACTGTAATATCAAGACATAGGTGGTAAATTGTTACTTGTAGTATCATGTTTTGATTTGTAATCGTCTCGTGCTTACTAGCCTGTGCTATGTGTTTATGCAGCCCAGAACAACTACCACACAAAGCATCTCGCAAAGATTTTGATCCATTTGGTTTGGTGCTTGCAAGAGTGCATGGCAGAGTCTTCTCACGCGGCGTATAGGAAGGCTATCAATGCTGCATATATATCATCCATATTTCTCAAATTCATTATTGAAAATGCAAAGACTGATAATTGGCAAGAGCTAAGTCTTGAAATTGACAAGGATGAGAAGGGGCTGGAAAATTTTCCTTCTGGTAATTGATTATCTAAACGCACTAGTTCTTGCATGCCTGATATATTCCAAAACACTGTGAATACCCTAAATCAGTTTTTAATTACTGTGATATATCGATTGATTTGTCATGGTTTCCTGATCTCTCAGAACAAAGCGTGGAATATTTTCTGATGAGAGGTGTTCTGAACTACATTGGTAGTGTAGATGTAAGGTAGATCAATCGATGACTTCCATATTTCTTTTTTGTGTATGTGTTTTGCAATGATATATTAATATTTTGCCATTTGCATCTCACTGTTTTTATCCTTTATATGAAGTCTGGAGTCATGCTACCTGCACCATGAACTTCTAAACTTGATGCTAGTACTTATGTCAACTCAATTGTGTTCTGGACCATCTCCTGAACCAAAAGATGTGCATCCTTTCATTGATGCGGCTATGCTTCAGGTAAAACTGATAGCTGCTTGTGCATTATGTTTGCTGGTCTTTTTGCGGACCCTTTTTATGTCTAAATTTGGAATGCGCATCCTTGCCACATATTCTTCTGCAGGACAGTTCCATAGTGTCCTCGGTAGTTCAAAAGTTGCTGCTAAATTTTGTAAAACGACCACGGATTCCTTTAAACAGTTCACACCCTGCTTTCTCTGATGATGGTGGACCTGGTGTTTTGCAGCGAGTTGGTTCAGTTGCTGGTAATGTGGATACTCTCTCCCATCATTTTCCTTCTAACAATTGGTCCATGCCTATTTTTTTCATACCTAACCTTACACAAGTGTGGCAAAGTTAGGCAAATATTGTATGACACATGGACCATAGAACTAGAGGATGTTTGAATTATGGAAAATCTTTAACTTTACTTATTTGTTACTGCAGCAAACTTTGTACTACTGCCATATTATACTTTCAACTACCTTGTGAGCTCAAACGCTGAAGGCGCATCAAGTCAATTGGCAGACAACAGTTTACTTGTTCTGCTTATTCTGATCCACTACCGGAAGTGCATTACGATGAGCGAATCCTTTCCAAGCAGTAATGTCTACACAAGCGATTTAAATACCAATGTCAAGGATGCACCGGCTTTTCATGATAATCCATATTACAAGGCCTTAAGCAATGCCAAAGACAGTCAATGTAAGATGCTCCTGTCATTTGCAAGGAATTAACTGCACCTGTCGTACAAAGAAACTGCAGTACTCGTATAGATCACTAACAAACATAAATGAACTATGCTGCAGATGATCGTGCTGATGTTGAAGGAAATGCTCAAAATGGGCTAGTTGTCAGGTTGTCTTTTGCATCGCTATTTGACGCTCTTGGCACGTAAGTAACACACTTCATCATGCTGAGCGGTATGATCATACTGTTACTTGTTAGATGTATAGAAGTTTGCCAAGTGTGATTCTAATTAAAACAATGAAATTCTCTCTCTCTTTCTCTCCTTGCAAACAAAAATGTACTGATGATTTGTGTATTATGAAAAGAGTTTAACAGTTCTCTCCAGATGGAATTATGTTTGAGGGCTTGATGTTTAAGAAATAAGAATGCACTTCTGTTGATGGAAACCAACATTCTGCTCTTAACTTTTCACATATTTGTGGGGGGTCATTATTTAGAATAGGATATTTCATTATTAACGAAGATCAATCATAATGTCCATCTATTCGCTATCCATGCAGATGCTTAAAAGATGAGAGCTCGGTTCTACTGCTCTATTCTTTGGTCCATGGGAACTGTGACTTTCAGGAATATGTTCTGGTTCGAACAGACCTGGATACTTTGGTATGTTAGCTTAATAACAATATTTCTGAACCATATTTATTGGAGCACGAGGGCATTCAATACATATCTGGACATATTTGTTTTGGGTTCATAAAACTGCTCCAATTTTAAGTTCTGTTTCTTTCCAATGTGATGAATAGATGGTATTGGTATTTAATGTCTGAAACATTGCAATTTGGGGACTAGATTCCATATTGAAATACACAACAGAACATGAAATTGCTGGAAAAAATAATAGTCACTTGGGAACTTCCATTGTGTTATATAGCTTCGAACTATGAATGGCTTACATTTGCTAAAAGTTATTACGTATATTGACTTGCTGAAATTGCTGTCTTGCTAAATATTAGAACGTTTTTCGCTAAGCTGTTGAAATCCTTATACAACCAGGCAGCTTATAATTGTCTTGTTCAAAATTCCACAATTTCATCATCAAGCTGCAACTCACGAAATTTGAATTCATCCCCAAATGTACTAATATGTAAAAATGTTTTTTATGGACTTGAGCATACCCAAATCCACATTTAACTCAGCCTCTTACTAATTTATTTTGTAAATTTTGTGAACAGCTGATGCCTATCTTGGAAATGCTCTACAATGCATCAAGAAAGACCTCCAATCAGATATACATGCTATTGATAGTTCTTCTTATACTCAGTCAAGATTCAACCTTCAATGCTAGTGTACACAAATTGGTAAGCAAGTTGATTTACTATATATTTATATTATTCAAAAAGTGTTAATGCTTTTATGTATTATTCTAGGTGCTTCCGAGCGTCCCTTGGTACCATGAGCGCCTTATGCATCAAACTTCTTTGGGATCTTTGATGGTTGTTATACTAATCCGAACCATCAAATACAACCTCTCCAAACTGCGAGTACGTATCAGATTTTTTTGTTGTTTTGTACAGGAAAGTCGAAGCACTTTGTACTTGATCTTACCTTTTGTGAAGTTCTTTTTTTCATCTTCTTGCTATCCAATGGTACAGCCTATACAGTGTACCATGTGCTAACACTAGACATGGTTCTTGTTTACTGACAAGCTTATCTACTATAGGATGTCTACCTTCATACAAACTGCCTTGCAATTCTAGCAAATATGGCCCCTCATGTGCATAGGCTGAGTGCATATGCATCTCAAAGGCTGGTTAGCCTCTTTGACATGCTCTCTCGCAAGTATGCTCGCTCAATCTTTCTCCCAGTTTATTTACCTTGAATCTTTTGTTACATAAGTGACACCTAAAGTTACCTTATCTTCTGCTTTTATGCAACATTCTTCAGGTATACCAAATTAGCCGAGTTAAAAAATGACAAAGCTATCAAAGTTATATCTGATCAGATTGAAGCAGACAACATCTCAGATGATACGGTACTCAACAGTTTGTGCACAATGGCCTTTTTTTAACCCCTTTTTTTCACTAAACAGCGGTTTACTTTTGCAGTCCACAGAACTTCACATCTATACCGACTTCTTAAGAATTGTTCTAGAAATCATCAATGCAATTCTTACATATGCATTGCCTAGAAATCCTGAGGTATGTGCTGACTAGCAATTATATTTACTCTGTACCTCATAGGGAGAATACTACTGCTTCTAATATGTGTATCAACAGGTCGTGTATGCTATCTTGCATCGACAAGAGGTATTTCAGCCATTCAAAAACCATCCCCGCTTCAATGAATTGCTTGAGAATATTTACACAGTATGTGTTATTGCTTTTCTTACATGAACTTGCCAAAGTACAAATACAGAATAATCAACTAAGGTTTCCTTTCCACAATCTCACCATGTTATGAATTTGTCTGGAAGGTGTTGGATTTCTTCAATAGTCGAATGGACATGCAGCAGTTAGATGGAGAATGGTCTGTAGATAAGGTTCTTGAGGTTATTAACAAAAACTGCCGTTCATGGCGTGGAGAAGGAATGAAGGTGATGCTTATAATACTTAGAAACTGCTGCTTTAAATGGCAGTTCTTTGATGATTGCACATTTTCTTGTTCTTTGAGCACTTGAAAATATTCTGGTGTCCGGATTGATTGGCTTGACAATATATAATGATCTGTTTTCAGATGTTTACCCAGTTACGGTTTACATATGAGCAAGAAAGTCATCCTGAGGAGTTTTTTATCCCATATGCATGGCGCGTTGTCCTATCACGAGGGTAATGTTTTCCTGTTCTCTCTTAGGCTTGTCATGTATAAAAGAAAATGAGAATAATAAAACAGTTTGGTCTTAGGTATGCAGCGAGCGATGACTAAAAAATGCCTAAACTGTTCTTGATCCAATGTCTTGGTTTTGATTATGGCATCTTACCTTGCAAGGTTGTCAACTTGTCATAAGTTTTCACATGTTCTATGAAATTTCCTTATTTAGGCCAAAATTAACCCAACAGTCAGACAGGGTGGTTGAAATTTCTCCAGCTCTTTATGGCCAGCTAGATTTGTTTTATCTTTATCACTTGTTTTTTTTTTCTCATTTCTAGAAATGTATGTCTTAGTTCGTGGCAGGGTTCTATGTACCATGCAATCCTTTTATTTTGATGTCGTAAACTCCAAATCCCCACTGATTTGTCCTAACCCTGTCGCTGCATTACCAGATTCTCTTTCAATCCTGGTGCAATAAATCTGTTCCCTGTGGAGATTCATGTTGATGTAAGTTACTCTCTGGCCTCACTTTTTATAAGACTCTCACTTGCTTTCCTCACTTCCTTTTTTTTAAAAAAAGAATCAGATCAGGTTGGTATGTATATGCTTAAACCTGGAATAAAGCATGCACACCGTAGCATTGCATGAGTTAATAGAATAGATTTCGCACCTGAAATGATACAAATCCTTTGGATTCAGTTTCTCCTTAGGAATTGCCAGTGGTATCATCATTTTACTTACATTCATTTATTGTTGCATTTGTAATGACATTTTCTTCTTCCAAAATGAATTCCCCTCCAGGATGAACCATCCGGTGAACAAAAGGTCTAAGAATAATCTTGAATGTTGAGTTCTGACTACAGCAGGATGACATGTTCCATCCACCGAGGCAAATAGATATTGTACATAGGAGGCATATACCAGACGATCGACATGTATTCTTATTCATTTGTGTATATTTCCGTTTCCTCATAATGTAATACCAGAGGTCAGCGGGAGGAGAGAGCGGTATTTAGGTGGCAGAGAACTATGTAGGGTACAACGAACAATTCTTTCATAAGTTAATCTTTGTATTTTTTTTTCATCTCTTATCACCTCTGACGCGGGAAGGCCACTCTGGTGTTTTAACATGTCTACCGTACCGTCGGTCGGTTTTCCTGTGAGAGGCCTGAACCGTTCTCTTGAATGTTGCCTCAGTTCGAAGATAACCTGCTACTCCGTCGGTGTTTCAACAAGCATGCTGGAAGGGCAGAAAAAGGAAAGCGTGCGAGAAGAGTTTATAGACCAAGGAACCGACGGTTTCATTAATCGGAAGCTATTCCATTTTATTCACTTTCTGGCTTCCAGAAACAAGTACTGGTAAAAGAAAAAAATGTTTCATGTGTCTGAAAAGTAGTCAGGTACCTTCATTTTGATGAAATATCAAAAGTTGAAATGTACTACGGTGATTGGAAGGCATTACAACTTTACAAGTGCACTGTTACTAATCGTTGGTATTTGTTTGATTGGAAGGTATTACAAGTACGCTGTTAAATCGTTTGTATTTGTTTGAATGGAAGGTGGAGTACCTCTTACCTTCCAAACGGTGAAACATTTCCAAAAAGAAAAGGTGAACCCGCCACCCGAGCGAAGATCACTGCTTTTTAGTACTACTGTAAGTACCTCCATTTTGGAACGGAGAGACCAACTCCGTCCCAAAATATAGCTTTTGGCTGGGTAGTACCGTTATAAGTTCAAAGAACCAAGGAATTGCCTGAAAAATAACATCATTCCGAGGGGAAGTTTGCTCACTGACCCTTTGTAAGCACCACGAGGCCCGCCAATGTAACCTTGAACCAAAACCACGGCACAAAATTTTCTGGTTAAGACAAACCCTAGGATTTACATGCTTCCCACATGCTACATGATCCATGAATTGGCATGTACAAGTGCATTACTTTGGTCGGTCAGCATGCACCCCAATATATTGGCGCAGCACACTCTGGAATACCTGCATATAAAGCATGATAAGTTGGTGCTAACAAAAAAGAAAACTGAAAATTTTTATCTACAGCTTGCTAATATCAAATTAGAAGATATTTCTGTATCAGGTATTTAGCAGAACTTTGATTTAGAGATGATATTTTTTATCTAAAGCTAGCAAATATCAAATTAGAAGATACTATTTCTGTATCAGGTATTTAGCAGAACACCGGTGAGTTCCTGGTAGGCTAAAAATGTGGGTGAATGATATTTTTTACAAGTTGGCTCCCTGTTAAAATATCATCGGTTATTTTCACCATTCTATTTTGGTTCAAGAGCACTGCATTGATGATAATCTATTGAAATGATTCTAGGAAACAGAAGCACCTGAAAGGAAAACATTTCTTTTCCATTAAGAAGTGCATCCATCGCAGCATACTGGTCATCAAACACGCTGTAGAATGTCTTGTAAAACTCACTCCTGTATCATTCATGCCATTCAACAGTTTAGAAGCACCAACATGTGTGCATTAAGAAATTACTGGAGAGTGTACAAAATACTAACTGTTGCTCTTTTGTCGCTTGTTGGTCCATCTCGTCAAACTTCCTTGTCAGTATCTCTGCTCCTATTGGTCCAAGCATGTTGAGGACAAGAGCTTCTAGAGTCCTTGGGAAAGTACGCTGAAAAGCAAGGATGTTTAAGAGAACAAAGTTTGATAACAACAAAATTCATGTTTATTTGTTTGAATAGTTCAGATGCTGAACAAACTATAAACCATTATTGTATGAATGATGATGTTCCATGCACGTTGACAAGGTTTGCATAAAACATAGGAAACGATAACTTCTTTGCTCATATAATTCTAATGTCAAAGAGGAGGGCTAGAATGTACAAAGATAGATGAAAGAAAAGAAAATGATATGGTATCAGTATCAGCAGATAAAATTTTTAGCTCACAATACATACCGCCATGGCAAGCAGCATACTCTGCAATTCAAGCGGTTTGAGTGGTAAAATTATTTTTGCAATAGGATCTTTCTCCAAGAGAGATGAATCATCTGCAGCAATCTTCTTACTTCCATTGCTTTGCTTGCAATATGCATCCTGAGATGTAGGTTCTGTTATTTCGTTTTGGCTAACCATTTCAGCACTGTTGTGAACCAGTGAGATGAGTTCATAAAGTGCTTGGAGGGTGGACGGTTCCAGAGTTTGCAGTGGTGAATCTTTTTTGTCAGATGAATCAGAATTAACCTGCTTCTGCTTCAATTGCTCAGGACCTGTTAAATGATCAACAGAAGTTTATATCTGTGTGAAAATCACAACAGAATTGTAAAAAAATATAAAGGTAAATTGAAGGATGTAAATCATTGTTTTCTTCCTAAATAACAACAGAGAGGAATATATCACTTTACATTATACTTAACATTGTAGCAGTATAGCACTCAGCTGCTTTTAGAACTTTGGGAAGCACTACGACAGCAAGTGTGCTGAACTTAATTGAAATAAATATAGGAGGAAAGCTCGAGTTGAAAAAATATTGACCTCCTGATTCTTCATCTGTAGGCTGACAAACAGTTGTACCTTTTGAACAAGAAACAGAATTCTCCTGCACCATTTTGTTCTGCCTCATGAGAGGAACAAAGTTACCACCCAAAATATCCATCCAATGAAATGTGAAAGATGTTTAAAAGTAGAAATAAAGAATCAAGAATACAAGAAATATTGGAAAGTGCAAGCATCTAATACTGCACGCAAAAGATGACAATCATCTCTAGTCAAAACAGTCAGATGCTGCCAAGGATAGAAATTGATCAGATGGCTATTTGAAACCAGTGGCATAAACAAAATTTAAAATAAAGAAAAAAAGATCTTGTACCAATGCACAAATAGAGGGGCAATGGGGCGTACCATCTCCTTATCCACCAATCTTTACTACGAATCATGTTTAGATGCAGACACCCGCAAGATGCCAAAACAACAGGAAACCAGTTAGAGTAGGATTAAAAACAGGTCAAGTGAAAAAACATCCACACTAAAGGCTAGACATTTGGAAATGAATGAATCTCTATATCCTTCAGTTGAACAACCACATATCCTGTTATTATTTTAAAAGGTGGCAGCTGGCACAGAGTAAGGGATAGCAGTTGTCTAGACTATGGTAACATCAGCCAAATATTCTTTTTGTCAAAGAGCAATTTAGTTAAATCCTTCTAATGTAGAGTCGTATTAATTGTAATGTCAAATATGCTTGTGTCACATTGTGACTACCTATTTAGTACATACGCGTTACATGCCAATGACTAGGATTGGTAAAATGAAAGGCTTATACAGTATATTTCTACACCAAATCATATATAGACGTTTCACTGATGGAAGTGCAGTGCATATTGAAGAAAACAAATATAACTGAAGAAAATACTAACACCTGCTCAGGATTCGTCGCAGATAGTAGGCATCCATATGTTCTAACATTTCATTCATTATTCTTGACTTCCACCAAAAGTTAATTGCTATTGTCAAATCATCACTGTCAACTTGATGATACCTGTTAAATAAACCCTTAAAGTGTTAGCCATATTAATTTTCCTACTGTTTGGTTTTCGAGATGACAGTTGATAGAAGAAAAAAATTTAAGAAACAAAGCAAGCCACGTGACCATATATCATCTATTACATTATTCAGAATTTTAGGAGAGAAGGTACATTGAACTGGAACACAGCTTTCCATATTTATGGCAATTCAGATTGGTGATATGAAAGCCTAGCAAATTTTAGTTCATAAAGAAAAAATAGAGACAGCTTGCTATATTTTGTAGCATCAATAAATGTATTTCAATATAAGATGCTGAGAATCCATGATGAACTGTTACCAAATGATAATTGGAAAAGAAAAAGTTCAGCAACAAAATAGCCCAAGAATAAAACAAAGACGTACCATCCTTCTGGTATGAAAAGAGCATCACCACAATTTAGAATGACTCTCTCAGAGTATTCCTTCATGTATCTTGCTCTTGTGTACCTTGAATAATCTGGTTCCTCGATGCTGACAGAACTGCCAAATATTTTGAGATCAGAGTAAGGCATCTCAGAACTGATAAATTTCAATTAGTCCAAGACAACTGGATAAATTGAAACAGTTCCTGTGTGGAAAGGCTTTTTTTACCTATGGTTGGAGGCCTCCCCATACACAGGCATCGGGTACAGATATGGGGATGATGAGGGAGGCCACAAAGTTACTGTATGAAATGTTCAAGAGAATGAAGCAATTACTGCATGTATTCCACTAGAAATTTGTCATGGGTTTTACACACAATTTACATTTCAAATAGCTAGAAGGATAGAAACCCTTTATGAGAAGAGAAGATTTTGGAATAAAATTTGAAAAGAAGCAACAGCAATCTGAAAACAGAAGTGCATTTGCAATTGCAGTAGAAGGACATTTAAGTTCCTATGTTCTACTAAATACACCGGCCAACAAATAATTTGGAAGATTTGAGAAAACAAAGAATTTGGAAGAATCATACGTGTCACCACTAATAGCCAAAAAGAACATAAAACTGCAGCAAACCTAAAACACTAACACAAACACAAACACACCTTTTTTGCAACCAGCCACCACACAAAGGAGATTATGATGGGGATCATAATGGGTACTTGATCTCAAGTGAGCTCTATTCATCCAAATGTTTATTGATGAAAATGGTTTTCCTCTCAAAAATGTTGGCTGTAAAATAAAAGATGAACAAACAAACAAACAAAAGTAAAGAACAACTCCTTTATAGAACTTCATATAGTCATGAATGGAGAAATTTTGGCTAAGATAACACAGTTATGTCAGACCTCCTGAATGTCCTCTTTCAAAACTTCCAGTGAACATCTCTCTTTGTTCTCAGTGTTCAGAATTGATACCTGCTTACAACAGAACTCATTCCCGGGTAAACAAAAAGTGTGCACTATTAAATTGTAACTGTTGTGAAGAAAGGTGATCTCACTTGTGCTAAATAGACTTGGTCACAACTCTCTAAGCTGCTCGAGCACCCCTCCTCTGAAGAAGCGGGCTCCTTGAGGATTTCTTGAGCTTTGGGTGAGTCACTGGAGGCATTCGGACACCTCAGGTAAGATTTGCACGAGTTCATGAATTTGGAGAATGGAACAAGCACCTGGAATCGAGGAGCAAGATAAGCAGCGTTAGCGCCTCGCGCAAAATGGTGAAAGTTACAACTCCCAAGCAGATTCAGAGTAAAAAAACCCGCCCTCTCATGGCTTCTAAGATCCCCATAGAACACATGCCCTGTGCTCGACATCATAGCTTCCACATCAACATCAGGTCCAACCTTTTCCTGAAGTAAATACTGTATCGGAGATTGCACAACGCAAAGTAGAATGGTACGGAAACAAGATATCTTTCCCACTGTCTCCTCATGTGAGCTAGATAGAGATAGAAGGAGGGATCGATCCAAACCCGCAAATAGTCAAGGCCGCCACGGCGAGGATCCCACCGAGAGGAGGCCGTCCAATCCTTCACCACGCCACGAAACACCTGACGGGGAGAACATAGCACGGGGTTGTATCAACAACTGATGGAAGCAGAAAGGGGAGGAGCGGTAAAAGGGAAGGGAAGGGAAGTGGGGAGCTTCGAGAGGATTCGGGGCGTGGAGAGGCTAGGCTCTCTACCGCGGGGGCGTTCCTGGGCTCGACGGCGGCCGCGAACTCGTCGGCAGAAGGCGGCGACGCGAACCGCGCGGCGCGGAGGCCGGCGTCCAGCCGCGCGCCCACGAACTCGCCGCCGCCGGCGTCGTCGTCCTCCGCTCGCATCGCTTCGCCGTCTCCCAGCACGAAGCAGCACTAGGCTTGCCTTGCAGTAGTCTAGTGGACTACTAGTCTTCCACTGGGCCTATTTGGGCCTGGAACTGAATATCAGAGCCCATCGTCTGAGCTCTGGTTCAAACGAGGACATTTTAAAAAAAAAAACTTTTGAGTAAGAGTGAGACTACATATTGATTCGATGTACTCTCTCCGTTAAAAAAAAGAAAAAGCCAACTTAATAATATTAGAACGCTACATAGCACAACGAATCTGGATATGCTCGAAAATATTGTATTGGTGATGTTTTTCTTTTCTGTTATGTACTCCCTCCGTGTTTCATATTATATAAGACTTTCTAGCGCAGCTATATTAATATAGATGTTAATGAATCTAAACATATATATATATATATGTCTAAATTCATTAACATCTATATTAATGTGGGCAATGCTAGAAAGTCTTATAATATGAAAGGAGGTGACTAGGGATCGGTCGCCCGATCGGAAACTTCAAAAATCGGGCGCTGACGTTACGTGTAAAACAACTTTAAACTGATTTTTCTCTTAATTTACTTATCCAAATCATGATCCGATTGCACCATTAAATTCGTTACAATTAAATCTTCAAAACAAGACCACACATGGATATATTCCGACAAAAAAAATTTAGCTTATTATTGTATTATTTTTAAATTGTTGCATGATGTTCCATCAGATATATCGGAATTATTTCACTAAGTAGATCGAAAATGTTTCACTCGTTTAAATCGGGTGTTGTTTCATCTTATATAAAAACAACGGTTCAGCAAATAGTGAAAGAATGTTTCAATTCATTGCAACATTAGATCTATACATAGTGAAACATTGTGAGTACACTAGGTGAAATATTTTTCGGTGGAACAAAAAATAAACCAAATTCCCTTAATAGGGGGTTTCTAAAATATGTGGGTTTTTTTGTTGCAATGGAATGTTTCGTTCACTGCAACATTAGATCTATACATATTTTTTTTATTAGAGAAGGGTATTTTTTTGGTATTTTTTTACCCGGCCTCTACATCCGGTTTAGATCTATACATAGTTTTTTTTATTAGAGAAGGGTATTTTTTACCCGGCCTGGCCTCTACATCCAACCGGATATATACGGCCATATCGAAATAGGGAACTTAGCCCCGCAAACAACCCAATCTGAAATTCGCTTCTATGGAGATTTGAACTCAGGAGCTTGGGGTACTACTCAGGTCACTGTAACCATTAGGCTGCATGCCCTTTCGTGAAACATTGTGAGTACAGTAGGTGAAACATTTTTTGTGAAAAAAATAAACCAAATTCTCTTAATAGAGAGTTTCCAAAATATATGGTTTTTGGTTGCAATAGAGTTGTTTGTGTGTGGACACGTGGTGGGCTAGGGGGAGTGCAGGCATACACGCGCGGGGGAGGGGGGGTAGTGTCCGATTTTTCCTCCCCCGCCCGGTCGCCCGAGGATAATCATTATCCGATATGAAACGGAGGAAGTGCTTTTAATTTCCGCAAAAATTTAGAAGAAACGTAGAGGGTGTTTTACTCACTACTAAACGCTTTCATCAAGAAATCAGAGACGGCACATACTGGCCGGCCGGCATGGACACCAAAGGAGGTGTGAGCCATGAGATGGCGCGTGCAACTGTGCAAGCACACAGCTTTTCTGAGAGAAAAAAGGGGTCTCGACGAAAGCATACATGCGCGGCGGCGCGCGTGCCGTACGTTTTCAGCGGCAGCGCAGGAAAAGCTCGAGCAAAAGCCAGCTGCCGAATGCCAATCAAATTGAATCAGGCCAGTGTCAGGACAAGCATGCATATCGATCTACCAGCCCCAAGAGGCCAAGACACCAGGAAGGACACAAGGTCCACACTGCACGCCTTCGACCAACCCGGCAATGATGCACGACGCGACGAGAGGCTCCGCACTGCACGCGACGAGGCTCCGACCTACGCAGCACGACGTCGCGTCTCTCTCCCCAGGCCGCCCGCCCTCGATCAGCCATAGTACGAGTATCCAGTTTGGGCTTCAAGTTTTTTCTGAGGAACCGTGCGAGAGTACAGACGTTGGCTTAGAATCTTCGACACATGCGTGTGTACTGTGAGAGCAGCAAACAACCGTGAAAACTCGATGATAATATATATATGCACATTACGTACATCTTCTCGTATATATGATAAAAGTTATAGTGGGCACCACACATATACTATATGAGCAAGCTTGCTAGTCCACATGTTCTTCAAAAATAAAGCTAACATGTTAGATTATTTTCCTTTCCTTATACATACAACTATACAAGTGTGTCCACAACCACAAGAAATTTATAGCTGTACTTATACATGCCTTATAATATAATATATATTATTTTATATTTTTCACTCTCCAATCTAAAAATTGAACACATATAAGGCTATAACAAAGTGTCGTATAGCTTTTTCATATAAAATAAGGACGTGTTTGGTAAGACTCCAGTTACATAATAGAGCTTAGTATATGTAAATATATATAATATCTAGTTTGTAGCTGTGATGTTGACTCCTAGTGACGAAGCCAGCCAGTAGTTGGACAAGGGGAGACTACTCCAGACAAAGCTTATCCAGCAATATCGATAACAATCAATGAAAAAGAGATTAATAATTATACATCTAACTTTTCAATGCTTTGGTTTGGATTTAATTGTAATGTAGAGACGTGCAATGAAACTCCCTTTCTTACAGTATTGCCTCATGTCTATGTTTATATGTTATTCTCTTCAAAGATGCTGACGAATATCAATATTTTTTTTCCTAGCTTGTTTGCAAAACTACAATGGTTTCTCGCACAATTTATTTTGTGAAGGATAGGCTAACTAACTAATTTGTACCATACTAGTTTTCATGATACGTACTTATTATGGTAGCTAGATGATCTCCATACAACCAAATTAAACATTAACTGTACACTTACAGTACTACTGCATATTATTGCATATAATTAATTAAATGCCAATATATAAGTGCGTATGTAGCCATCATCATATAACTAGTGGTGGTTTGATTGGCAACTTTATATACCGTAAGAATGATTTCTTCAGGATATTTAGGATGGCTGGTTAAATATGTGTAATCAAGCTTACATAAATTGGAGAAATTTGAAGGTAGTTAAACACAGGCGCCGTATTAGTTCATCATTGCATCACTTTCTAATTGTCATCGTATGTTTTGTATCATAATTCCTCAAGCTCATGAACATGCATGCATGTATAGATGATCTATATAGAAGCTATGCATGTATGGGAAGCTAGCTATATAGCTAGCATCGATCTATATATACAACTTAAGGCCAGGCCAAACAAAAGTTAGTTCAAATTACTGGGCAAATATTACGAATAATGCAAGGGAGACCAATGATGTTTAGAAGTATTTCGATCTTAGATAATATAAAATTTTCCACAGCATCTTCTGTAACATATTTCTTTCTTAGAAAACGATTTGCACACAGCTAGCATATATATATATATGCATTTTCGTTCAAGTACTACCTTAGAAAAAAATAATAGAGTTTCCTTTTAAAGCTTTACATTTTAACTTACTAGAAAAAATGCATGTGCGTTGTAACGGGTGAAGACTATTATAGTTTTATTATTATTATTGTTATACGGTTTAGTTAGGGTGAAAATCATTATGGGAATTTGTTTGGATATTTATTTTAGAAAATCATAAGTTGTTATTAGGAGTCCGACTCTTATCTCAAGTAAGCATGCGAGTTTTTTTTAAAAAAATAATTTCTTATATGACTCCTTTTAAATTTTTAAAAGCGTCCTAAGTTAGCATGTAAGTTTTCTTTTAAAAATATTTCTTATAGGATATATTTTGTATTTCCAAAAACGAACGAACTTAAACACAGATCTGTATTTCCAAAAGCGAATGAACTTAAAAACCGACTCAAATACGAATAACCTACCAAAGTACCGGCAAAAAATCTTCAATTTTCATAATAGTAGAGATCTATCCGGACGTTGAACGAAAACCGCAATCTTATATATATATATATATATATATATATATATATATATATATATATATATATATATATATATATATATATATCGATCTGCTAGCTCTAACTAGTAAAAATCTCAAAATTAAAACTAACTAGTAAAAAATTGAGCATGTTAATTAGACTGCATATTGAGAATCTGTATATGTAGTTTCAGAACCGGCCAATCGATCGATTATGTCTGGAAACAAAATAAGGAAAAAAAACAGAGAAGAGACATATATCTATATATCGACTCATCGTTTGAACAAAAGAAATACGCGTACTCAGAAGAAATTACGGAAAATCAAGAAGAAATGTAGATTCCCCCCCTATCCTAGCTGCAGCAATTAAGAAAAATACACGCACGTGCACTAATTAAATCGAGTTTGAGGCGGTGATAGCAAATTACAGACCGGCCAGAGATAAACCATATATATGCATGCATACCTCGGTTGATCGATCAATATGCATATGACTCCTGTGCAGATTACAACAGTCAATATATATGCATAAGTACGATCTGTCTAGATCTCAATCTCCACGGGTTTTTGCATGCAAGATCGATCAGACAGCTGATCTGTCTGGATCTACTCTATATATTGCGTTTTTTCTGTCTAATCTTCAGATAAGGTCTAGAAATGAATATCTAGTAATATATGATAGAAAGAAATTCACAGTGTAGTGCATCGATTAGCAGATGAAACTGCGCAGCACGATCTGAATCTTAGGAACCCAATATTTCCATCAACTTATTCAGATAAAAAAAGAGATCGCAAAAGATCAGATCATGCTGGCAGCTTCAGCTGCTTAAGGTGCACACATCACAAAGCTAAATGGAGAGGTGAAGAGTGAAGAGAGGGGCTAGGGCATGTAAGCTTATTTATAGAGCAGAAGCTATAGCAAGAAAGCATATAGCTAGCGAGAGAAATTATATTACAGTTCGTTTGAAACGGGAGGAGCTAAAATTTTGCAGGATTT